TGTCTGCCCAATACCCCATGTTGGGGATTCGTTCAAATGTATTATATATTTGAATTAATAAGAGATATAAACGTTTTGTTATTCGCTATTAATTTTTTGCCGTTTATTTTTTGCTCTAGGCAATTATGTCTTCAGCACTTTAGTAACACCACAGATAAATTATCTAGATCATAGATGATAATCGCGAGGCTATTGCGCGGACGTCGCGTCGCCGTCATTAATAGCACTTAACCCGTTGCATCGCACAGAACCTATTTATAAGTTGTATCTTATGAGCAATTTCGTTGCTTTTTTATTTAAAGTCTATTTAAAACTAGATGTAGTGTGTACAAAGTTGTAAAGACCGTATTATCACAACTGACGCTAAAGATTACGAACTCAAGTCGGGAATTGAATGGAAGTACTTAAAAATACACGCTCTACTTTATCAAATATAACACTTTATTGCTCCAAAATATGAAACGTAAATTATACTTCGGCTATTGTAGTATGAGTACTAATCATCCTAAAAGTTTGGTTGTGTAATAAATTATACGACATATTTAACGATGTGAAGTTGTATCCATTCTTGTAAACTACGGATGATATTATTTATTGTAAGAAATAAAAAGACTGCGTGAAGTACATGTTCGCGCTGATATTTTATTTACGTGAAACTACTATTTTCTGCACGATCGAGACTATTATGTTTCCTCCAGGATTTAAACCCACGACCTTACGCGCATAAGCATTTTACCATTGAGTCACTATGGCGGTCAAAAGACCTATTGGCGACTCTAAAAGTGGCAAGTTAGCTTCGGCCCTAATAACGTGGCTAGCCGCAAGCACTTGGCAACAACAATTACAGACAGAACAAATAATATAACTGCGCATACGCACCTTGTAATTGCTACGCGCAAATTAAACACCTTCAAGTTTTATGTATTAGTATATATTCCCGTTAGTATTGTAATAGGAATAATTCGTTTTACTATCTTCTCTTCGATTGTGCATAATAATTAGTCATTTGTCTCACTGATTTACGCCTATATAAAGATAGAACATTGCTATATCTTTCCAATATAGGATTACAAGTTGTAGGGTTCGAGAATTGACGAGTAGCACCCTAAGAACTTGCAAACCAACAATATATACAATCGAAAATCATTGGTTTTGTTTCGCCAAAATATAAAGGGTACACATCGAATACATGAGACTGCCAGCCGCTAACAGTTCGGCGGAATAGCCTAAATTCAATTTTATGACTCAGGTTATTTATAGTTCTCGTACTCTAAAAATGCACAATGACCGAAAATTGTTAACATAATTCTTACACAAATAATAGTGCAACTTCATTTTCGCCTAAGTTAACTTATTGAAAATAATGTCTTTTGTCATTAGGTCACTCTGCCTATAGCAGCCTCACATTTAAGGGGTTGTTTTTTTATCTATACTAATATATAAAGCTGAAGAGTTTGTTTGTTTGTTTGAACGCGCTAATCTCAAGTACAGGAACGGAAGTGCGGGTTTGAATTGAAAAATTATTTTTGTGTTAGTTAGAGCATTTATCGAGGAAGGTTATCGGCTATAACACATTGCGATGTGACTAATAGGAGCGAAAATACAGCAAGAAATGTGAACAAAACGGGGGAAATTCTTCATCTCTGTAGGTTTCAGATGCGTACGCTGCGAAAACGGTTCAAGATACCTAAAAACTGTGTATCAAAGGATGATCCCCCTTTACATGATCTAAAAAAATCCGCGACGCTATATGTCTATCTTTTAAGATTAACTTGCAAGAACGACCCGAACGACGAATATCGTGGGTAACAGCTATCTACACTAATATTATAAAGAGGAAAGATTTGTATTTTTTCATGTAACGGATAAACTCAAAAAGTACCTGGACTGATTTTAATATTTTTTTTTTTCATTAGAAAGCTACATTATCACTGAGTAACATAGACTATATTTAGTACTACATTACGATAGAAATCTTTAGAAATTTCTATTAAAAGCAACGGGAGGTGTAAAAAAATTAGCCGTATTATGTCTTACATCGCATTAGATATTTTAGTGCCTGAGAAAGGACATATGCTTTTTAATGCTAACTAAGGGTTGATAGGGGTTAAAAAAAGGAAATGAAAGTTTGTATGGAAAATCGCGTTTTTTGAAGCTACAACGATGAAACTTTCTTCTTTGGTTTTTTGGGAATAAGAGTGGTAGTGCGAGTAGGAGAGGGAGTGGGAGTGAGAGTGAGTGTAGGAATGAGAGTAGGAGTGATGTGATGTGAGAGTGTTGTGGCAAAGTAGCACTTATAACATAGATTGGCTGCGCTAAATGCGCTCTTATATAAATTTATAAACAGCCTAAATAATTAAAAATTCTACCCCAAGTAACTATTCCACTCAACTTCTAATCAACAATTAATAGATTTATAACGGAGTCACTTGTCAAAATTATAAAACTTACATCATTTTGACAATTGACTATTGTCTACTTTATCATCCTATATCGACTAAGTATAATTTCCTTCTATAGTCTATACGGAAATAGAACGTTCACTATTTGAGCCAAATAGCTTGTCAAAGCTGCGGCCGTTATTTAGTCAATATTCTTGATGCATCACTTTGTTATCTCAGTCGAATTCCTAATAAGAGAAGTGAATCATTTTGTGAGAAAATAGTCATATGAACCATTTAATTTGTCCGTAATAACCTTAATTGAATAGATAAAAGATAAAATAATTACTTCAGAATACTGCAGAAGCTCACAGAAGAACTAGTTTTTAAACGTCTTGTACTGTTTTATTTTACACATTCTTTATTATTAAGTACTTATTTATCTTGCCTATAAAAAGTACATATTAAAAAATGTTACATACCTGTTAACTACGAATACGAGATCTTTTCCATCAATTCTAAGCCATAATAGGCCGACAGTATATCTTGTTAAGATGGCTGGGGCGTTACACCTTCAAAAATCATTTAATTCCATAGTTTAGTTATAGACCGTGTCTCCTTTCACTAAAGATAGAAAAAAAGTATTTCACGCGTCTTGCCATAGTTCAAAAGAGGTCATTTTAAATTTTAAAGTGTTTAATTTTACTAGCAACTAATTAAACCATTTCAAACGAACAGTTATGTGATATAGGTAATCAGTTATAAACAGTTACAGCGCAAAGAAACACTAACAAGTCCAGTTACAATCAATATTTTACGTAGTCAGTCAAATCAAACATAACTGTATATACGGAAAATCAATAAATAAACCTATAAACATTGTGTCGTAACCATCGCGCATCCATCTCGTGTATATTGTAAATAATCTAACGCAGCGCCCAAAGCGAGATGCGCACGGTAAATAAGAATAACGGGGCATTTACAACCTCAGCACCGCTGCGCTTCGCTTGCCTAGCCTCGGAACTTTGCCAATTCTCAATACTCGACCCTTAAACGTTGGAATTTCTCACTTGTATGCTCGTAAATACATCATTCTCCTTCTTTGGCACAAAGGCTATAAGCCAGCCTATCCGTAATAACATCGGGCCCTTTTAATAGCTATAATAAAATCTTCTACGTGTATACCTAGTATTTAGAGCATGTAAACGGACGAACTAAGTTTTAGTAACGAGACTCATAGATACAATGAGTTCCAATAAGAATATGAGAATGATATAGTTGAAAAAGATAATTATGTTTATTAGAAGACAATTACAAAATCGCTAGATATGTTACTTTTTGTGTTTAGAAATGCGCATCTGCACAGCGCTACGCCTTAAATAGATCGTGAGTTCCACCCAATCGAAGACAAAAACCTTATTTGTCCCGTCCGGTCCTGTTATGGTACGGCAGGGTGATTACCTCCTCGCACGAAATGTATAAAGGACTGTTTCAACAGAAATGCTCCTCATGACTCTCCAAAGAATAAATAGTCAAGCTTCTGCCTCTGCGCAGTTCTAAATAAAAGACGTTTTATGTGATCGTAGTTTATTAACATGATTAAGACAAAGAAAATATTTTCAAAGTTTTCTAAAAAAAAATTATAGTGTATATCGATCTCTAATATACGAATATTACATAACAATCTGTCTCGTTTCAATATAAGTAATACTTTCTCTAGCTATAAAGTATAATTGTAATATGAAATAACTCGTTAAGTGTACTCAATATCATCTCGATTTCTAGCAAAAATAATAGTATATAGACTTTAATAATGGAATAATGTGGAAAATAGAAGATTAATAATTAAATTCAATAATTATTATTGACAGTGAGATTTATCGATATCATAACAAAAGTATATAAAGATTATAGTGAAATATTTAATATTAATATAGCTCACGATTTAATATTAATTTATTTAACTCGTCTAATCCGCAGTCAGTTTGAACATTTTATAATTAACATTACTAGCAATAAAATTTACTTATTTAATAGTTTCACATCAAGCCACAAGAAAAATAGGACAAACACGATCTAATGATTGTAAATAGTTATCAACAATAGAAGCAACAAACAGATAAAAGTTGTTCGTAAAAGATACAAAGGCGATTATTGTTAGATGAAAAAATACTTTCAAGTAATGTACTTCAGGACAGTGACGAGATAAAAAGTCACTTTAATACGTATGAATAGTTTCTATATAAAACAAATACTTAACACAGAAATAGATTGCTAGAAACGATCTCGTCGCAATATGAAATTTAATTCTACCAAATGATAAAAATATAACAATTAAAAATTAAGCTCGGGCTCTTCGAATCGGAATCCTAAAGCGATTAACAAAATTTATTTATTATTTACTATATCGTGTATCTATTAGTGTACTTTTCTTAAATCTATTCAATTCCTATTTAACTAAAGTGAAACACATTCAGGGTGTCGCGTAAGCTCTGACGAGTAGCGACGTACGATTTCCGCTTTTTTCTATTAACTACTCGGTATTCCAAACCTTGTCGCAAGAAATTCAATATCGACGAAAAAATAACTATAACTAAAACATATTTTCAAATTCGTACACTATTTAGAGTCTACGGGAGCTGGGTTTACAATTGGAGTCGATTCGGATATCTGTAACAAAAAACAATACATGACATTTAATATAACATAGCGAGTTTGTTAAATAGAAGCATGCAATATGCTTCGTTTAAAACAGTTCCTTTAGTAAAGAGCTACCCTACCGTGTTAGAATCAGAGACGATGCCGGCCCATTGCATGAAGGAGGGCAAGTCTCTGGCTGGCAACTCCGCAGCTAGCGCCTTAACTCTTAGATTGCGGTCATCTGTGAGCAGAACTACTTCGAAAACGCGTCTCTTCGCCTCCGAATTTTCCTCTTTTGTATCTAATGACAAAATATTGTTTGTTTGTGTTCATTACATTTGAAAACATAAATATTATTCACATGTTATCACACATACTTGATGGTACTGTATAAATTACAGCACGGGACCCTGTGGATGACGATTCAAGTCTTACCGGTATCGTAATCTTTTTTTAATATTAAATGGGTTTTAAATGTTTATTACATACTAAACACACCCCAAATTGATTGAATCATTGATTTAAATAAAACACTTAAACGGTTTAAAACGCTATATCTTAGTTAAACACCAAACCCGAAACCTCGGGCCGAAGTTAAAATCATTTTTCAAATAAGTTTAACTAATATTAGTTATAGTTTTAAACTTTTTTTTGTTTAAATGTGTACTACTCGCATAAACTATAGACAGTGTTTAACCATTGATTGCAAGGAAATGGAAAATCTTAAAATTATCAATTATTCATTAATTAAACACCTACAATTAAAACACTAACGCGATACAACGTGAAAACATTTTTTTATACGATACATACCTTGCTCCGACGCAAGATTCGCCTGAAGATTAATGGCAGTGTGTAGAACTCGGTCGTCGTTGGAGTGGCCTGGTCTGTGGTCCTCAGCGGTGAAAGCGCGCGAGTTAAGTACGGATCCACGAGCAGTCACCAGGCGCACGCCACGGGTTCCGCCGCTGACCCAGGCTAGAGCACTGCGTGCCGCCTCCCCGAGCCTCGAACACCGGCATAGGCCCTCCAACTCACTCATCACTTTAAAAATACATGATTAAGTGTAAGATCACATAGATCAGCATTAAACAGGAAAATAATTTTAAAGAATAACTTGATAAGTAAACAGCTCTCTGCCTATGCTATATAGCTATTTAAATAATCTACATATTTGATTGATAGGCACAAAAAAAATCTTTAAAAATGTAGCGGGGATCGAATCCACACCCACGGCGTTCCGAGTTCATACCGTACTGAACTTCAAAGGCTATATTAAGCTTTTATGAGCTATAACTTATCGAAATTTACCACATTAAATTTGTAGTCTGCTTTTTGCAATGCGAAGGAAGAACTTAGTTAACGCGGGATGAGGTGTTAGTAAATAAAGCGTAACCTTAATTCTTTATGCACGTTTTTATAATACCCAATATGCATTATTGTGATTATGTATTTAAATAAAGCAATTTTTATAATTTATCACAACACTTACAGTACAAATAAAATAAACACGACTAGTTCAAGTAGTTAAAAAAAGTGTTCATATTGGCAATGCGCCAGCCTCTTAAGTGCCTATTAAATTTTATTTGCTTTATTTGATCAACGTGACAAACTTGAAGGTTAAAATTTACTTTAAATGTCTGACAATGATAATTAAATCAATCACACTGTCAGGACTTAATATGGATAAACTTGTAACTTGTGTAACTTGATGTAATATCTAAAGTGTTTGGAAATAATTAAGTAAAGAAACATAATAAATATTGCTTGATATCAGAATTAAAAAGAATAATCATCTTTGAATATATAACATCGACCCGTCAATGTAGTAGTAATATTTAATTGTAATAAATATCCCAAAATTATTTTCATTTCACTATTTAATCAAACGTCTTCTTACCGACAAGCGGGACAGCGATTTGGTAGGGCTGCGCAGGCGCAACAATAGCTTGCAATTGCGGTAAATGGTCGATGAAGCAATTAGTATCTGGCACCAGCCATCGTGGCCGCACCTCAACTTCACCACCAACTGATCCACAGCCTAACATCTCCTACGAAAAATAAAATATTTCAAATTTTGCACTGAGAAAGAAAACTCGCCTAAAATAACTACATATAACCTGGAGTTTGAACATCAACATTTTAAATATAAGGAAAAGTACATTGAGAGGGTAACATTGATAAAATTGGTTAAATACTGTCTATTTACGCGATTAGTACACATTTAAATAAAACACGGAACGGTTTAAAAAGCAAAATATATTAGTTAAATTTATGTGACCCGTGACTTAGACTGCTGCAAAGCATCTGATACGGTCCGTAGTTAAAGTAAGTTTAACTAATATTTTTCGCGTTTTAAACCGGTAAACCGTCATGTGAAAATGAGAGATATCAAAGATGTGTAATTCACATTTCCTAGCTTGAAGTTGAAGCGCCTCTTCATTTAATTGAACGAAGAGTGTCTGTGTAGTAAATCTAAACAGGGTAACTAGGCCACTGGCCAATGTTTGACGCTAACGGTTTTTCACTTAGATTGTTCGTACATCGACAATGCGTCATAGGACAAATTAACTCTAAAATGGCGACAATAAGGAAAAAATACTTAGGTATTCCATGAGTCACGTTAAATTTTAAACACCTTTGAATTTAAAGAGAATTACAAAAACAAGTAATCATTGTAAGTAATTTAAATTTTGGTTAATTTTTTTTTTGTTTTATTATACTGAGTCATTGACTATAATATGTCTACCGAATGTCACTGAAAGATTTCAGACTATGGAGTTTTCTATGTCTTTACTCCAAACCTCAGACTTATTTTATTAAAGGAGGATTTTATATGTCCGGAACATTTTATCGTTTACTTATTAATCAATTCTAGTCTACCAGTGTATATTGATCCAAACCTGCATTCTTTGACGACGTTTTTCGAGAGTCGCCTTTCGAGATTCCAGTTGCTCCTTTCGGCGCAACAGTCTTCTAGTCACTTCGTCCGTCCCCTCTACATCCAAGCCTTCGCTGTGGCTGGTGGGACCGCTAGTAGTCCCACTTGCGCTGTCTTCATCCTCAGAGTCCTCCACCTAACAGACATATGTATATAGACATTATAATTTACATTTTATAGTCAATTGATTCGTAGATTAATCAACAGAATTTGGGTATTAATTGCTTCTTTTTTGTATTGATTTTATTTAAACAAATATAATGTAATATTAAATGTGTTCTCACCAAATGCTGTAACTGAGGGTAGTTGGTCTGAGTGTGCTGAACAGCGCTGACGTACCGAGGTTGCGCTCCAGCAGGATATTCTAATTTCAAAACTGGAGGCTCCACACCTACAAGGTACCTGGTCACAGAGAAATTAAAAATTCGATTATTTGTATTACTACAAAATTATGTTAAAAGCACACAAAAATCAGTTAATTAATTCTTAAAGTTTATTAAAGATATAGATAGGTAGATTTAATATTCCAACGATCGATTCAAGTAACGAGTAACGATGTTTAAAACATAATCAGAGTAAACTTAAAACTGAAAATTACTACGATTATAAGGCCAACGTAAAATGCGTTTTTTAAATCAAGCATTTAAAGTGTCTTCTTCGCTTGTGCTCGGTGTTAAAGCACTCACTCGGTACCGAAGAATAGCAATTTGCGTGTACGCAGAGCGTGCTCGGCGGCATGGGGTGTCCGGGGTGGATCCGCTCGCGCCCACGATATCGCTGGCTCCATGTACATGAGGGGTGTGAAACCGGCTAGAGAAGTGTCTTCAGCGAGACGAACTACCATCAGACCTTAACACAAACCGAGAATTTCTTTATCAAAATTCCCATAAAATGCATATTGTAATTATTTTATCTAAGCACCATGAAAAATACTGATTTTAAACAACTTCTTAAATTATTAAAACTCTTTTGACGGCGCAATCTCTCGTAAAATAGAGCTATTGATCTTCATTGACGCCTAGTTTACATATTACAGGATAACTTTCAAATTGCTCAACTTCTAAAACTCAACAAACAACTTACCATCTTTTGTTTCACTGTCAAGCTCTAAAGATTTATCGTCGAGTGATTCTAGAATGTTCATTAACTTAGCTAACCAGTCCCACGGGTCGTTTCCGCTCCTGATCGACAAAAAATTAATAAGCAAATGCTTCGTGTAGTGTAATCAAAATAGTAATATGAATGTCCCTTAAAAACATACTCACTCGATTCCGAAGCTCTGAAGCGACGGAGGTGGATTCCAGACGCTGCTATGACATAACATCCAGTCGGACCACACCTGAAAGATGAGCATTTTTACATTCTCAGCGAGCTTTTAGGTGGAATATTTTATGCAGAATTCATACAGGCTGAAGTTGGCCTTGTCGATTAAGGCATGACCAGACTCGGTAATCGATATTGCGGTTCGGTAACTATGCAATATTATAATTAACATCAATTGTAAGGCGAGTTACATCAAAAATGTAACAGGTTTAACGGTAACACATCAGTATGCCGTTAAAATCTTACTATTTTATTAGCTTCGATCTTTTTACTCTGTGACTTTTTATGACAAGAGGCACTTCTCTAAATTGAAGACGTGGTTTGTGAAAATGATAGAATTCTGATATTACTGCCCAAATTACCGTCCAGATTTCAGAAATACATATATATTGATTTTTAGATACAGAAACTGATGGGAAGGAACCCCACGATCTTTCTATTTAATAACTAGCTGTGTCAGCAACTTCTTCCGCTTAGAATACTAATTTTTAACTTATAATTTATATCTTCTCTTGTATTATATATCTTCGCTTGTATTAGTCACGGGGCAATGTTTTATAGCTTATAGCCTTCCTCTATAAATGCTCTAACCACAAAAATATTTTTTTATTCGAACTAGTAGTTCCTGAGATAAGCGCGTTCAAACAAATAAACAAACAAACTCTTCAGCTTTATATATTAGCATAGATTTAATTTATGTATTATATACAAGTTTAAAGAAGCTTCCAAGATTGTTTAAGTTTATTAGAGCTTTGTTAAATACGATGATACAATAGGACATAATTATGGCATAGATATTTTTATACAAATCTTGCCTTTATAGCAGGCAATAGAGAGACAGCGTCGGTATGTTGTTGCGACTGTGTCGGTTCCGGCAGCAAAGCACAGCATCGTTCTAGCAGCGCGCCGAACATCAGCAGTGACACACCAAGTGCGCAGTCTAACCAAGCGCTTCGTTCTGCGTTTTCGTTACCTGTGGACATAGGATAAATATCATAAATTTGTAAGTCGATTCTCGAATAACACTTTCGACTAAGTATAGTCTGTAGTTTACGAATAGGACACATTTAAATAAAACACATGAAACTGTTAAAATGCGCAATGTATTAGTGACTTTATTTACAATTCATTTTAACTACGGCATGACGTACCCCCGTGGTTAATAAATTATAAATAAAGTAATTAATAGATTTCGTGTCTTAAACCGTTAAAAGCTATCCACTACTTGGTACCGGGTTTTTAACTTGATCATAAGTTTTATCACTAAAGTATTATGATAAATAACACATTGTAATATACATTTACAAACTTAATTATTATATAGGAGCCATCATCGGAGTCTCGCACACGTAATACACTTGTGCGCTGAATTCCCATACATGTGATCAGGTAGCAACAATGCTCTTATAATGTATAACAGGTCAACCGTAGCCGATCTAAATTTAGCGCCCAGAAAGCAGCTTACGATGACGCGGTGTCCATCTTACGAACACCGACCACGTTTTTCATTTAAATGTAGGCCCTCTTACTAAATATTAATGGCGTTTTTGAATAATTCAATTTGTGTAATTGACAATTATTAGCTCGTGTATAAATCGTGGACATGCACTCGTTAAATTTTCTAACTACAATTAAGATGTCTTGTAAAATAACATCGTTATGAATATGAAATAGTTACATAAACTCGCAATTTGCGTTCCCGAGTTGTTATTTTCTTGTGGAAACGCGTTCGAAGGGGATGAGAACAGATGTATGATAGACGATGACCGACTATTAGTCGAAGGTTGGGGACCGGTAAGATAAAAATAGATTTAACTAAAAATAAACTGCACGGATTGCACCTGCATAAGCTCCATTACAAAATCTATTGTATGGATATAAGTAAATATATATACAGGCTTGGAAAAGATACACACTTTGTTCGTTTTTCCTTAAGACTACAAAAATGTGAAACGTAAATTACTTAATTGTAACTTTCGAGACGCAATTCCAATGAATCGGTATTTACATGTTACTTCTTTTAAATAAACTCGATTACGTTTAGCTGTTGTATCAGGTTATATCACTACGCCACAGTTAGTTTGTTGAACTTTTACCATCGAAAGCATGCATAACACGCAGTGTGAACACACGGGGCGCCGTTCAGTGCATCAACCTTTAATAACATATAATTAGAAAATCAAGCTACAGGAAGTATATTTATATGCCCTCTTGGTAAACCCTTTTTAGTTAGACTTTTTTCTTGTCTGAGCGCATACACCCGATTAAATATCAGGAAGGTTTTAACGCATTGCCTCGTGGGACAATATCATATAAATTATACGACGTACAACACAAGGGACGATTGCACCAAATTGATCTCAGTTTTTTTATCGAGCTCCTAAATATTAGCATGCGGCACGCAATGTGATAAATTAGAGCGGGTTTTTGTGGACAAAAAGCGATCATAATATTATAATAATTTGCCATACATGAAAAACGGTCTAACAAAACGGGATGATACAGATTCAGGATAAGTGGGCAATATTTTTTGTTAATTACTACACTCGGCGGCTTGTTTCAAACCTTCCATGAAAATTAAACAAGTTCTCCTAGATCACTGATATCACAAAACATTTATACCGGCGAAATAAATTTGTCATTGATTCTTTCATCGACGCATTGTAAGATACAGGTAATAGCTACAATTCTCTAACCTTTGTTTATAGTTTTTGTAAAAGCCGTCGTGCAAGAAAGCTCCGGTAATTATTGTTTTCGTTACAGTCGGTTGGGTAGGAAAGTGGAAAAAAATATATTTCCACGCGGACTATAGAATCTTTCCACACTGTAAACTTAGAAGTTACTGCTAAGGTATCGTAAGCGCGTATATAACAAGACATTCGAGTCTAATAAATTATAATTTTCAAAAACCAAGCACATTTAAGGAAATAAAGTTATGTAGATATCTTGAAGCCTGAGTGGCTTCAAGATATCTACATAAGGAAGAAGTTGTTTGCTTTTTTAGGCTGAGAGCAGTCGACAAAGCACATCTAGTGTTCTGGTCTAAATAGGCAATAAGGCATCTCTGTCGCATGAAATCTTCTAGGCCTGATCAAGTGCTTGTGTTTTATAAGATTTGAACGTGTACGAATTAAAATGTATAAACAAAGAATTAAACTTGATAAAATACCTTTGAGACAAGAGGTGTTGCTCTCTACGGCGAACATATTAAGGGCGGTGAGTTGCAGCAGACGTGCTGCGGGCGTCGGCAGCGGCTGTCGGTGGAGCAGAGCACGGAATTGACCCAGCATTTGCGTTGCGCTCTCGTGAAACGTTTCCATACTAAATGATAGATAGAAGAGAATAAGCGCAATTTCTATAACTCATATAGAAAGAAATTTTTAATAATTTTCACATGATGGCACTATATAAATTTAAAATCGATTTTAGATGAAAAAAAAACGAAATACGAAATGTTGGGCGGACGGAGAGCTACAGCATGAAACGTTGTGGATGCCGGTTCAAGTCCTGCCCGTGCCTTGAATCTTTTTCAATCTAAAATCCATTTTTAATTCATACAGAGCAAAGGTTTTTAATATAAATAACGGACTGCCACTTGTTTTTTACTTTATTAAGGAACCCTGAATGACCAGTAAAACTTACCCAATTTTCGTTATTAATTTTCCATGGACATGCAAATATGCGGTTATGAAATTCTTATTTAACTGAAACAAATAATTATATACAGAATTTGAAATAGCACAAAGTAATCGAGGCAAAATATATGTTCTAATTTAAGAAAATAAATAAATATACAGGGCTTCACAAAGAGGTTACAATTTAGTTACGTAGTATGTTTTGAATAACTTTTAACTGTATTGAAGCTATGTCCTATTGTCGTATAAATATAAATAAATAATAGTTTAAATATATCACCTCGACTGGTGTCATACTGGCATAATCGTGGTACAGGGGCGTACGTGCTAGCGTAGGCGTCCGTGGTCCCGCATCAGGCCGCACCCAAACCTCACGTCGCTGACCAGAACTGCTTTCCCCACCACTTTCGTTACCTTTCAAATGGGTTACCCCTTTTAATTGACATTATCTATATATATTAGACAAGTAACTAATTTTAATATTTTTACATGTTAGGCACTGTATAGATAAAAATCGAAAATATTTTTATTATTATTGTTTAAAAACAAATTTGATCTGCCCGAGTTGAATTTTATTTAAATTTATTTTCGTTTATTAATTCAAATTATACAATCATAACATATATAAATAGGATAAAATAATGCTATATTTTTTTATATTATGATTTAACGTATTGAGCCCGGGGCTTCGAATACTAACCGGACGTTAGGCTATTTCTATTAGCTCACCTTTACATTCAAAAAGGGCACGTCGCTTTCGTTCGGCTGCTTCATACTAAAAAAAAAAGGTCACATCAATACAATCCAAGTGTCTTCTAGTAGAAATAATTGTAAAGTTTTTCTATTTATCATATAGTAAAGGATTTAATAATTCACTTGAAATTGAAGAATGGGTCATAACATTTGCACGGTTTATTTGATTTTTTTTTATGAAAATGTCTTGAATAACTCTTGACTGTTTCTCATCCTATAATAAGAGATTTTTTTTTATTTTTTTATTATTGCTTTATTATTTATAAAACACACCACAGAAAATACATATCAATGAGAAAAAAACCTTACGTGCTAACTTATAAATAAAAGGCGGCCTTATCGCTAAGTAGCGATCTCTTCCAGGCAACCTTAAGTGCAAGAGGAAAATAATTTATTTAGTGGGTAGGTGTCAGGAATAACAAAGAATATCCGAGGTACATAGTGAAAGTACACACAACGAGTAGAAGGGAAACTAACTTAAATATTGGAAACGCAAAACTTATACAGCAAACTCTTGTTCTCGCAGAGATTGTAAAATGCTCGTTTTTGAGCTACCTATTGATATTTGATTTAAACTGATGACGATTTTAATTAAAAGCGTTTTGTTATATCTATAACATTAAGTAAGTTATAATTACGAGAGTAAAATCTGAGAACCTTTAATATTACAAAATAAGTATATATAAAATTACATCCACCAATACCTTTTTTCTGTTTTCCTCGAACAAGGACAATAAACTTTCGCGTGCAGATTGAAACGGGTTCGATGACATTAAACTTCTCATATAGTAATACACAGCGTCAAGTTTTCTTCTCTGGAATAAACGGAATATATTTAGACATGCGAAAGCAATCGTCAATACTCGTACAATACATGGAACAATAGCGGATAATTCAAGGTTAATCTTTCTGTAGCAATTTCTTTGCATAATATTTCACAAGACACATTTTCCTGTGAATGCACATATTTCCTGGTTTACAATAGTGTGTTTTTCCTAACTTGAAGATCAAAATAAATATTTTGCAATAAAATAATTGAGTCACTGGAGGCGTTTACAAAGAAAAAATAAACAAATTTAAAATACGTTGAGCGTGGGAGCAAACAGATTTCTATGTTTGTTTAAAATGTTTAACTTTTCTCTGAGATACAGGAGGCGCCCAAAATATATAAAAAAATAAACTTACAGCATATATAGCCAATATTGCCAACTGATTGTAAGGTCGGCCGTTCTTAGGATTAACCTGCTGAGCTTTCGTATACCAAAACTTGCTCTTCGCATAATTATTGGTTTCGTTAACTTGTTCCTTATATCTAGCTAGGTCACCGAGGAACACATACAGCTTCTGGACTGAGACCATCGCCAATCCCACGTAGCCGAGTCCCTTCGGTGGTAGCGCGTTATTATCATTCAAGTAATCCTCGGTATTAAATTTATACGTCTTCTCTAATAGTTGTATGAGATTCTCAAAGAAAATATTTCCTTCGTCTATAATAACATTTATCAGTTTGACAATTTCAGTCTTTTCTGCTGGGGACGCTTGGGTGATACTCTTTCTTAAATTTTCAATGAAGTGATAGTAAAGGATTTTCCAAAACTGCTGTTCAATGTTATCCGCTTGACAAAATTTAAGGTCGGACAAAAGAAGCCTCTGTAGGGCGCCTTGTAGAAACTTTCTGTAAAAATAAATACAACAAAATCTATGTAAAATGTGTATATTTCAATAAAATATCTTTAATCTTTTAAACTTTAAGAGCTTAAAACAAATTTTGAGGACAAGGTGACAAGAGATACGACCAGAGTTTAAAAATCAGAAATAGTAACGCTACTAGGACTAACGTAAGTAATTAAAGAACGGCGTAAAGGCGTGGTCACCTCTACCTAAGCTAATACTACCAATCAGGGGCAGGAGGGATGTCTTAGATAAAAGATATCGGAAGATTGACGTTGTAAATTATGTAGGATCTATATCAAACTACGGACAATAGAAAAATGTTATTTAACATTTAAAGTTACCTCGTTTCGGCGACATCAGACCAGTTGGCAGCAAGAGATAAAGGTCCTCGCATGGTATGTGTTTTGAGGATGGCATCAGCACGGTCCACCTGCTTTAGTAGGGCCATGTGTCTCGCTGCCCGCGCCGCTTCTCCAGTGTCGTAGCTAGCTCCATTGCGGCCTGCCGTCTCCTTTACACCTGATACACCTGATCACAATATTAGATCTTCATGAATGATACTACATTTAATAATAATTTAACATGTTTCCAAATAAATTTCAAAACATTTCTCTGAATAATTTTTAAAACTACTGACGAATACATGTCTTAAGCTATTTCAAGCCATTAGGCAAGCAATTGACAGTAACTTTTTATTTGAAACTAGTGTCACAACCAGATTTGGCTAGTTAAAGGACTGCTCACAGATTGGCTACAATTACCTTTTTCCATTCTTATATCTGGTTTGTTTGTATGTGTCTGGACAATAATCGGCTTGGATGGATTATGGTGATCATATAGTGTTTTTTGATGCTCGCTGTTACCTCCGCGCCTATATGATAAAAGTTAATAATTAATATAGATACTGAATTGCTTTTTATTAATGAAACTGTACAGCTTAAAAAATAGCTTCTTTTCAGTTATTATACTATGTAGAAAAAAGATATTCACCCTAAATCCTTCTGAGAATGAGTAGTGGAACCTTGAGGCAATACTAAAACGCCCGGCTGCGACGCAGATGCTTCAGACAGAGATTTATCAGACAGAACGCTGTTCAGCCTGTTACGTTGGTTTGAGTCGTTCGTTCTAAAAGAAAATTTCAAACCAGATTTACATGACTGATTGCATTAAACTTAGTTCATACATTTTTCTTTAATATATAAAAATGGCTGCCATCAATATTACTATTTTAATCAAAAAATTCATGTGATGTAAATTGATGGACTAAAATTTGACTTAGTTTAGTAATATTTGAATCATACCTCACTCCTGTAGGATGGTGCAAATCATTCTAGAAGTTTTACCATTTGATATTTTTCTTGGTTACACAAACTTCATATACTCGTATACCCAGTGCATGATTATATAATCTACATAGTATACACCTAAACCTTATGAGATTTTCTTTTTTTTTTATTTGTTTCAAAATATTCGTTTTATTTATATTATTTTTCATTATTGTCAATATTACTAGCCCGATAATCCAAAAAAGCGGTAGTTACCGTTCTGGCGGTTGGTGTTTTTTAGCTTCTAGTATTTCTTCGCGCCAGTTGGTGTTCGTGGGGGCCGGAGTAACGCCTGGCGGATGAGGCGACGGTTGCACGTTCTCCGCATTCCGAACACGCTTGCGTCCAGATCGCTTCCGAGACTTACGACCGCCCCCAGAGGGTCCTTCCACGCTTTCACTGTTGGGCTCAACACTGGCTGTACTTGGCGTAGGGGAATTACGTCTTCTTTCAACACTTGTTTGTCGACCGCTCCAACCGTCGTGACGTTTCTAAGATACAATACATTTACAATTTAATAGACTTGCAGCTTAATAAAGCTTATAGGTTTCGATATGCATATGCAAAGAAATAACATGAGTTATTTACCTTAACTATGCTTTGAATTACTTACCTCCTTCCTACTACTTTAACCTAAAGTAGACTTGGAGGAATTGACAACTATACCTGATTTGAAGCAGGCCAATTTCCCGAACGAGGGACCGCAGGAGGTACTCGAAATCCTTCGCTGTCTCTTGGACTTAAAGCCCGGTTGATTGATGGATCTCTACTGTTACACTGCGACACGATTCTTCTGACAAGATAAAATGCATATAAAGGTGCAAGTCACATATTACGAAATTTTAACAAAGATAATAGAATACTCATACCCTTCAGTGCTATGTTCACGGCTATATGAACGCAAGGATCTCCATCTGTCTAAATCATCTCGACTGTTACCAATGGTCGATGATCTATTGCTTCTATGGCTATCTCTCCTCTCACGATGCTTAGATCCAGGTAAAATATCATGTGTACTAGCATTACTATCTTTGCGACTGCGCTCTGACTCAGTTTGAATGCTTACATTGCTATCTTTCCTGTTACGATCCTTCTTGTCAGAATTCCTATGACCTCTGCTGGAACTTCTACATTCATACAAGAAGTTAATAAAGGATTAACAAATTGCTTCCTAATATTCTTAAATCTACAGAAAATAAATAAATTACGTTAACACAACGATACCTTCTGTCTCTGCGACGTGATTTTTTCTTAGAATCTCTTATTTCAGTTGGCTTGATTTCTTGTAAAGGTTTTACATTTAAGGAAAAACTTGTGGACGTTTCTGAGATTTCGTCAAGTTTAATATTCTTCTCAACTTCTTCAGTCCAATCCTGTAAAAAAAAAAAACAATTACAACATTTTCGTTTTGTTTAAGAGGTCAGCAAATGTTTTATACAGCATGAAAACAATTACCATTATTATTATATATTGCTTACCAAATTCGTCATGTCAGTAAGACTAGTGAAGGTTTCTTTTGTTTGTTCTTTCTCATTTTTAATAATTCCTGTATCATTATATTGTATATCATTATTGCAGTTTGTCACTCCATTTTTGGCACCTTAAAAAATTATTTAAGTAGTACAAAACCAATCTTGACTATATTTTTGTTGTTTACTAAGACAGGTCAATACACCTAACACTGCTTTGAACAACAATGATTAATATGTATATTGATAAAAAACTTAACCAGGTCAAACTTTAAAAAGATCTTAACATACCACTTTCATATCTATCCTTGTCATTTTCTATGTCACTGTATTGAACTTCATTCTGTTTATGTGTCCCTCTACTGTTACTGACCTCATTAGGCTCATACAAGTTTGAATAAGAACTACTTGGTGTAGATCTATATGAATTCGGAGCATCATAGTTTTTTAAATATGAATTTATGAATTTCTCTCTATCAAAATGTTCATTATCTCGTAAGCGGCCTCTTCCCCGAGAAGGCAATGTCTGAGACCAATTCAAACTGTGTTGACCAGAATTATAGTCCAACTGAGAAACATCATGCTGGCCCCTATTGAATTGATCTATGCTCTCAATACTGTGATAACCGGATTGTTCTAAATATTTCTTTCGGAACCTAGGTGGTATATTATCTAAGTTAACTACATGTTTATGTCTAGGTTCTGTAGAAAATCCAGCAGAGTTTCTACGCCCAGAAGGTGGCTTTCCACCAGAATGTGATTTATATCTTCCTGCCCATGATTCCATGCTCCTACTGTCTCGGTTGCGCTCCAAGGAATTCATTCCCTGAACACTTCTTGCTGGCGATGTAGATCTTGAAACTGAATCTTGTTTGTAGTGTCTATTGTAATTTATATCATTTGTAACACTATCTTTGCTATGAGCATCTTTTGAGCCACCTCTATAATATGACCCTGTACCACTGTAGTTGTCTTGTTTGCTTAACATTTGTCTATTGTTAAATCGACTAGAATTATCACCTCTTGATGGATTTTTCCCTTGTCTATCACCTTCATAATGTGAATTAGCTGATCTCGCTTGATAAATCTTTTGTTCAGGCTTACGAAATCGACTGTTCAATGTTTGTCCTTTACATGAATCGTTTTCCCCGTTTATGGAGTTAAGATTTTCGTAGTGACTACTGTTTTTACCTTTAGGTATTTCCTCTACATCATAAGAATCCATTCTTTCGTCCAAACCATACCTCGATCGTCTTAACGGACCACTACCTGGTTTATAAAGTTTTTGCTGGGGCTTGTTTTTTTTGTATTCCTTAGATTCATCACCCATATCAATTTTATTCATAAAAGAATAAATTCTAAAATAACAACAACAAAATATTAGTTTAACAGTTAATTTACAAAGTGCATTAAGTGCGCTATTATTTTATAACTTACTACCGAGTACTGACATCATAAAGGTTATGTTTCAATTTACTAACTGATACTATTGGACAAAATGCTTAATCAATGATCAAAATGCAAGATCTATGATTTTTTCTCAAGTAACCTATAATATACAAAAGAAATATTAAAACTCCAAATACAACTTAAGTATTGTTTTGGCCTTTGGGTTCACAGATTTTACAACAATAATTATTTAATTTTTGGTGATGTTACCATTTCTAAAAACGATTAATGAATTATTATCTATAGCAAATCTTTAATGTCTATAACGACAGACAAGCGGTACATACTAACTGGTATTGCCATTTTTTGCAATGTTTTAACTAAAATCCAGATAATACTAAACAAAGTCGTGTCGAAAAAACGAGACAATGTATTATTGCCCGAACAAATATTAAACAAGATTAATTGATTATGTAATTCTGTCGAAGGGTAACTCTTGGGTAAATGTCAAGTTTAGAAAGTTGTCTATTAATACCGCGAGTAGATCGTTTTGATATTTTTTTTTATAAGAAAGTGTGACATTGCTTAACGAAATTGTATTAAAATTACCTCGTCAGCATATGTTTTCAACTTGCAAATTGCAATGGGTTTCTAACCCGTAGCTGACGTATTTTATATTTGTATGGATTAGAAAATTGTACAGATTTTTAGTAATAAGTGTTCCATCCGTGTTAATTTTTATCTTATATTATTTATTTCTGTTCATGATTAAAGAATAATGTCATTCGAGTACTTGCCTGTAGCTGAAGATGAAAACGAAGAACCCATAGAACTTCCAGTCGAAGATGATGGGACTTTGATGTTAACAACTGTGTCTGCGCAATTTCCAGGATGTTGTGGACTAAAATATCGACATCCCGATACGAAAACATTTAGAGGTATCAGATTAAGAGACGGTAGATTATACCCTCCACCAGAAGGTTGGGGTAATCATTTATACATCTGCAGCTTTCCGAAAGAAAATAAAAGAAAATCAGGCGAGAGCTCGGAAAATGCTATGCTAAAGAATAAGCGAAACGATAACCTGTGTTCTGATTTAATTGTATTAGGATTACCTTGGAAAGCGACAGAACAGACGGTGCGTGAATATTTTGAGAAATTTGGAGAAGTACTCATGGCACAGCTAAAACGAGATCCAAAGACTGGTATGTCAAAAGGATTTGCTTTTATTCGTTTTTCATCATATACATCACAAATGAGAGTACTGGCACAGAGACATATGATTGATGGACGATGGTGTGATGTGCGGATACCAAATTCCAAAGAAGGATCTATCACATCAATGCCTTGCAAGGTATTTGTAGGTCGTTGTACTGAAGATTTAACAGCAAATGATCTTAGAGAGTATTTTTCCCAATTTGGTGAAGTAACTGATGTTTTTATCCCGAAGCCATTTCGTGCATTCAGTTTTATAACTTTTCTTGATCCTGAAGTGGCACAAAGTCTGTGTGGTCAAGATCATATTATAAAAGGAGTGTCTGTCAATGTTTCTAATGCATCTCCAAAGCAAAACAAAAGTAGTTCTAACCAACGGAATTTACCAAGTCGAAACTATGAAGAGAGTCATCACAATGCATCTAATAACAATTCTTGGAGCAGCCGTAACATGGATATGGTAAACATGCAGGCGTTAGGGCTGTCTGGGCAACATGGTCAGACACCAGTTGCTGGGGGTGGAGGTCAAGGTCAGGGTGGCAGCATGCCCATTGGAATGGGTGGGTTACCTGTAAACCAGGCGCTGGTGGCAGCGGCACTAAACCAAGCAGCCGGATGGGGCCTCATTAACAACATACCATCAGGTGGCTCAGAGCAAGGGGCCTTTGCAGGACCAGCGTCTACAGCTCCACCTGCTCCACCAAATTTTTTGTCATGGATGCAACAAGGTAATTCTGCTCAGGGACCTTCTAGTCAGTGGGGACAAAGACACCAATCCCAAGGCCACTCTGTTTGATCCGACTATTAAAAAGCTCACAATAATCACTGTGATTGTAGCAAAAGTAGATTATAATATTACTTATTTGAAATTAACTACAACACATATATGGGTTGTTTTTGGTGTAGAGTGGTTTGCTACTGGTGTTATTTGTACTATTAATTTATTATACATTGCTTGTTTTGTTGTTTTATTGAATCATTAATTATAAATATAATAACTGTTTGGATCACATATTTAAAACCAAAATTTTCATATTTTCAACACAATATGGTTACATTGTGTGCTAATTTATACAGGCCACATTGAAATATGCAAAAGTAATGCTTTAACTCCTTAGTTATTTTCTTCAGATTTCACTTCTATCAATATAACAGTGTTTTTGCTGCAACCTATGCAATTGGCAATGCTGCACAATAACAGGGCAAAAGTGAATACTTTGTCTTAACAAATTATCGCTTGAATTTCTATTAAGTAACATTTGCACATTAAATTTTAATCTATTTGTATAATACACTAATATGATCAATACAAAACTCTCTGACATTCACTTTTTCAAATCAATGCCTCCGTGTAAAGAAACTTCCCACTTTATTTAAGGAAAATAATATATTTAAAAATGTTTTGATTTATTTACAAGAAATGTATGACGATTGATGTTGTTTTGTTTTTGTGTTGTCATATTTATTAGAGGTGAGAGCAACATCCTGGTGAACGGTAACTGTACCTAAGATAGATTAAGACCTAATCCTTTTGTACATTACGAGATATATGTTTTACAACAGATTGTTGAATGTTCATACTTGTGTATAGAGACATAGAGAATCTATTGATTGTTATCATTGTTTAACAAAGTAAATAATGTTGATTATTATTATAAATTTATTCTGCGTTTCCTCTGGACATGTGGCTTAAATTGTGGATAAGTATATATATTTTTGACAAAATAAATGGCTAGAATATTTTTGTGACTATGCTATATTATGGATTGTTTATTGAATGGGTACCTAGCTATAGCTGTATGTCCTGGCATATGTGAGACAGAATAATAGAGTGTCTATGAGACAGAGCTGTTTGTACAAAATTGAAGACTGTAAATAAAGGTCAGATACAATGTATAGCTATGTTTAAAATAAATAATTAATGATAAACATTTATAATGGCAATAGAAGTTTTTAAGTAGCATAGGAGGTTAAGCGAAAGATTCAAATGTATTTGTACTAGGTATGTTGGAAGAGATATTTTATATACACACAGTAATTGTTTACATAAAACTAAATCTTTTGGGAAGAGTGTTTATTTATCTTTGTTAATACCAAATTCCATCTTTTTACATTTGTGTTCTAACAGTCTTTTATTCCTTTTCCAATTCTTGATCTGGTTTAGGTACCTATGATAACATGTTACAGCTATGGTTTCAAAAATGTACCAATTTGCACAAAGTGAATTATATCCGAGGCACCATATTGTTCTAGTATTAGGGTGGTATACATTGACACTGTAATATATATAAAAAAAATAGAGTATTATTGTTATTTGCCGTCGATGGCAAATTTTCTATTCGTCAATATTGGATTTTGTATATGAACACGGCTATTGTCGTTTTAAGATATGCAAAAGCTCAAGGGACTTTTCGAAAAAAAATAGATAATTTGTGTGAATTCAGAAATTCACTGATATGCTACCTCCACTTACGAAAATGTAGCCTACAACTATTAGGATTGAATAAAACTGGACAGAGAAGATACATTATGTAAACAAATATTTATCCCACAACGCTAAATGTTTTTACTGACATTGTGTAATCCATTTTGTGTAATATCTAATTCTAACTTTCGTTAGTTATTAACGATTCAAAAACAAGTTCTGCCAATGTCCAGTACTGCTCTTAATATTTCCTAAATTTTCACATATACATGTTATTTACAGCTTATAAAATACAGTTAAACTTCATTTTTAAATCATTTTAGTCTTTTATTTAAATACTCTATAACTCGTTACTAAAACTACCCACTTAATTTTGCTTTATGACATACTCTGTTTTTCGAAAATTAAAATTAATTAACTTATTTTCTTAAATTAACCATGCTAGCCATTTTAAATGATAAATAGTTTACCAGGATCTAATATCTAAATCCGAAAAAACACTGTTATAAAAAATATAACAGTGTTTTTTCCGATATATAAAATTACAAAACTTTTTAAAGTTCATAACATATATTATTTTTCTAAAATCAGTTTTTATAATTAGTTATTTATACATACTTACCGCAAAAGTGATCTATTTTATTGTAATCAATTCTTATTGTTCTTATACTATAATAAATTTTATGTCAAATAATAGAAAATGTCGTGGGTACCTATTTTTTCCGGATTCTGAAACAAATATTATTGACATATTTATACGTATATCTAGTTAGTGATTTTGTAAATGAAGAATGCATGATTTGGTTTCACTGTACTATTAAGTAGTTTCGGCTTGGTTTTGTTTGTTTTATTAACTTATATAGTAAAGGCCCATCATCGGTTTATGTTAATTAGTATGATTGTCAGTAAAATTATTATTACGTGAGTGATTGTAACATGTGCGTATACAGAATGGAAATGCAAGCCTATTACAGGATGTAATCGTTACGTAATGGTGTTTAGTTGTTAAGTTTAAATGTATATTTATTTTAATGTTTAATCTATTTAAAGGTCTTAAAACTGTATAGTGCAATCAGTTAGACGTTACATACAGGCTAAATAATATGTTTAAATAAAGTACGTTATGAAATATTGGGAATTGACATGTCATGAATTATTTATTTTTTTACCCCGCACTGAAGGCAAGAGTTCTAAATATTTTTGTAAATACATCGAACTGTAGCGGCAAAGTAATATAAAGTCTTATCCAATCAATTATATATGTTAAGTTTGCAATATTTTTGAATCACATCATCAGATGCAACACGGTAATATTACGAACCCACTGTGTTATCTAAAGCTCATTTCCATTCTGTATATAACATTCAACTAATAATGACTATTTTAAAAATATTCTATAAAATATTTCGTTTACTTTTTGTTTGTTGATTATCAATATTATGCATTGTGTGGGTATAATTATTTTCGTAAATATACAAAATTACAATTGTTGTCAACGACTTCAATTTTTTGTGCAATTTGAAATTTTGTATATACCCAAGTATTCTACAATCTATCTATTATACGGTGCAATGAAATAAATTATTGCAAACTATAAAATAAGTGTCTACCCATGTACGTGTGTTCGCTTAGTCATTACATTTTACTTCAATAGGATCAAAGGAACAAGGTGCTCTCAGATGATATATATTCTTGGATTCAATAATATGCTTTGCAAATATTAACTAATTGACATACATTAAGATCGTTTCATTTGATATCACTTTATCGGTAATTACTGATATTGACATTTCTACTTTTGAGCATACACATGGCTATTTCTCTGTAGCTCATAATGTAATTGACGAACAGAAGTTGCTCGGACCCTATAAAATGAATTGAAATAGCGTGATTCGGTCCACAAAACGCGTTTTTATCTTTTGCCTCTACTAAACAGTAGTAACCGTTTTAACGTCTGTTAAAAGATTGTTTTGTCAAGTGTACCTACCTAAAATAATAAATGACGTTATAGCTTATGTTTCCGTGACTCATTTATAAAAAAATAGAATATTTTTTCAATAAGAGGATCTGTCATATACATTTTTTTTTTATAAATCTCAATATATATTGTAACAATCTCCTAACCTACCAATATAGAGTAGGTTACTGTTTGAGTATGTTTTAAAATCTTTCTTAAGATTTTATTAACAGTACTGTAATGATTTTTACGCCTGTTTTATTGATTCTATTGATATTTATTTTGTGTCTGCATTGATTGAATAAAGTACTTAAAATAAAAAGTCATGTTGCCATTGCCTTATTTTACCTAATAATTTTATTAAATACCCTCTTTAGGATACATACTTAAATTACTCTGCGTAATATGTTGCATGATTACAAATCAACAACATATTAATTTTACGAGTGTAAGTGACAGACTAGTTTACAACACAAAACTTCCTAATTACTAGATTTTATCCGTCTAACTATATGCAGGCTACCTACTGGCTATAAAAAAAGCTTAGAATACGTCTGGGCTTCAGCTTAGATCTGTTAGAACTTTGACATATTTAAGATGAAAGGCATAATTGTTGAAAACTAAACAATAATAAGAATGATACATTTTCAATGACATATTGTGTCATATATTATGTTAGAGAAACCAAAAACATAAATGCCAACACTACGCAATACCCAACTATTCACTAAAAATTTCCGTCTTTCATAAAGAGATTATCTTTCTTTAGTAAATTGTAGGTATAAATAAACTACACTTATTTTGAATATGGGATATGCGAGATGGATCCACAAAGACGAAAGGAAGCAGGGCCTGTAGCTCCCAGCAGTGTTAAGTCAGCCCGAAAGAGCTTTGCAGTCACCAATACCTATGTTAAAAATGTTACACCACAAAAGGAAATCGTAACTGTTCATACTAGCGCGCCTAATATCGAACATCGATCTTTTCATAGTGAACAAAATCAAATATACCAAGGAGAAGTAAATGTACTTTCTATTATGTGAGTGGGTAGTTTAAAAATAAAAATAATTTTATTATCGAGAGCCTGCGCAGTTTAAAAAAACATGGTACAGCGTTTTGATCAGGCATGGCAGGCGTCTGAACAACTGTTTTTAAAAGACAAAAAGTTAAAAAGCTTTCTGGAATTTAACTTTTTCACTTATAATTGGTTTTTTTTATATAAAACGAGTTTATCTCATTTTAGTTTAAATTCCCCAACTTGACGATGTTATAATCTACTCTTTAATAGCTAGCTATATGAAGAGCGTGTTTTTGTAGAGATACAAATAAGGACATAATGTGCTGTAAATACACCGAAGACACGAAAGATATCGCCACCGGATTCATTGATGGAACAGTCAGGCTGTTCGATTGCAGTACTGGAAACTGCACGCACACACTCGTAGATGACGAATGTCGTGCATATCCTGGCCCAGTCACTGCTATCAAGCACAGACCAGTTAGTAAGGCGCATCCCATCACGAACATGCTATTGTCATCTTGTTAGTATATTTTTAATCTCGTCTACATTCAGAACTCGTTTAAGAACTGGTTTGATAAATAAGCATTCTGTAGATGTAAATGGATGTATAAAATGTTGGAAATATAAATACGATCAATGTATCTATACCATTCGAGAGAAACGACAGACGCTAGGTATTTGCTACCATCCACGTTTCACCAAGTTTGTAACATACGGCGATGACGCTAAGCTCAATATGTATGACGAAGAAGCTCAGACACAGGAGCGAACATTTTATTCTAGGTAAGGTATTACACAAATGGGAGATAACGTTTTATATTATGAAATAAATCAGTTTTAACGGTTTATAACAGCAAAACATTTTATTTTGTCACGAAGGAACGCTCGTGTCCTCAAAACCACACACGCTACTTTGAAGTTGGTTCATAGTTAAAAAGAACAGTTAATTCGCCATTTATACTGTAAAAAGCCAATTTTTAATACGTACCTCTCGCTTAAGCATAAAGACAATTCAATAAATAAAAAAATAGTTACTTAGCAAATTAACATCATCTGTTTTAATTGTTGCCTGAAGCCTACATGCAAACAGATATCAAAAGTAAATTCCTTGATATTGTAGAATTAAGTAGTTTTTTCGGGATTCAAACGTAAAACTTAGCAGGTATTAAATAGGCCAACCATTGATATTTTGATATATTGTCATGATTTTACTTTGGTTTACCACTAACATTTTGATTCAGTCAGAGGAAAAACATAATTGATGGACACACGTCGAGAATTTTTGCGTGTTCGTTTAACCCAAAGTCGCACCACGAGCTCGTATCCGGCGGTTGGGATGACGCGGTAATGTGCTGGGACGATCGGCAGCCGTATGCAACTAGATATTTTCTGGGCGTGCACATGTGTGGTGAAGGTTTAGACTTTGATAAGCCGGGGAAGCAGGTAATTTATTTTACGAATTATATAAAAGCAAAAGTTTAAGCGAAATCTGCTACTCTTTCACTGTAAAACGGACGTGATCATTTTAATTTTAGGGCCCCATTTTTTAGCATATATGAACAATCCATAGATTACTTACTTTATTAATCTATGGATTGTTCCATTACTTTATTATAGATTATCGAATAATGAAAAACCTTAATAATCTTTAAATTTATCAGTCTTTGAATTAGTAAAGTACAAAACTTATTTCACTCTATTCGAATATAATGGAGTGAGAATACTTAGTTCGTAATATCTTTCTTGCGACATCCTTTTAGATACTGACATGCTCATGGCAAGAAAAAGACACTATTCAAATATGGGATTACGGCTCCTGTAAACTTATAGAAACAATTGTGCCGGATGTGCACCAGTCCAAACTGTACTGCGGGAAGTTGGTTCCTCAAACCAATTTGGCCGTTTGTGGCGGCACAGATTCTAACGTGTTACGCGTTATTGATGTCAACTTAAAAATGGTGAAGATAGGAATATTTTATTTAAAAAGTTATAAGTTAAAAAAAAACTATAATTTACTTGGGTTTATTTATGACGCTATCGTTCACAAACAAATAACTAGCTGCGTCAGCGACTTCGTCCGCGAGGAATGGTTATTTTGGGTTTGTTCTTTGTAAACCTATACTTCATGTTTATAAATTTAAGCTGTTACCCACGACATCGGTTGCATCCCGTCGTTCCTGCAAGTTAAAAGATAGACATTTAGTTTCGCGGACTTTTTTTAGATCATTTAAAGAGGAATTATTCTTCCAAACATATTTTTTGGGCGGCCGCATGCACCGGGAACCCAGAGATATGAATAGTTTACCTCGTTTTTTTACATTTCTCGCTGTTTCTTCGCTCCTATTAGTCACAGCGCTAGAATTTTTCAATTCGAACCAGTAGTTCCTGAGATAAGCGCGTTCAAACAAACAAACAAACTCTTCAGCTTTAAATAGATTACACACATGTATTGTTAACATTTTAGAAGTAGTATAATTTTACGTAATGTTTAATTTTAGACTGAATGTTCAATAAGAAACAATCCCAGTGCAATATACGCATTCGATTTTGGTACGATAAGAAGGAAAATGGCAAAAATACCAGAAACTTACAAAAGAATTAGCGAAATACAAAGCATTCCCAGAGTAGCGTTTGTTACAGGAAAGCGACTGCAAATTGTGGATTTCGGATGACTTCAAAAACTAATAAAGAAAACAATAAAGAAAAGTTGCACATCATTTATATCAATTTTTACATTTTCTCTACAAACAAACAGAATATGTTTAATATACAATTTTATGTGATAGACACATACAATACACTGTGATTTCATTTGTAAATAGTATATAAAACTCTAGAAAGATAAAATTTCGAGTTTGGCAAGAATTATATTTATACAATAAATAAAATAAAACAATATTAACTCTACATAGTATTGTACACAGGATTCGAACATCTATTATTCGACCGATTCAAGTTGAGCCTCGTCAACGGATGCGTTTTCCCGTGCTGCAATTGTTTTTTAGTTTGAGCTTTCGACAATACAGTTGAAACCACTAGATCAGTATACTGTAGAGGAGCGAGCGCGACAACCGTGGGAGCTACCGGAGGCCTGTCTGCGCCGCAGTAAGAGTTGCGCACGCCCCGACGCGCTCGCTCTCGCGGAGCTTTATTTGAAGTATCGCTACTCGACTCGGAGCGGGCCCGCCCGGGCTGGTCGTATCGGTCTACCAACACGCGAACTGACAGGTCCTCCCCTCCCGCACTCGGTGGCGACGGCGGTGCTCTACTTCTGGACACTGACCGTCTCGGTTGTTCGCTTTCAGATCGCGCCTCAAACTCTTTTTTAAGGTTACTGACGAGGCCGGCTGCAGACACGTTGGAGGGGGCCGAGGCGGGCAAAGCTCGAGGCAGGTCACCGTGGGAAGAGGCCGCTAAGCGGCGGCGGCGAGGTCCCGATCGCAGCCAAGTTTCGGCCGGCGCAGATGCCGATAGACGACCGCCCCAAGTGGAAGCGCCGCGATCTCGCGCGCGCTCCATACGAGCTGCGGCCGTCGCTAACTCCTTTAATATGGCACACGTTTCATTAAACTTGCGTTCGTTGTCCGAAATATCCACGGGCAAACGAGACGGAGCACGACATCGGCGGGTCTCCGTGTGCTCCGTAATAATGCTGAGATCAGACGAGGGCTTTTGTGGCGCTGGCGACTCAGCGGAGCGGTCGCGGTCATCTGGCCGTTCTTTGGGTCGTTTTACATCGTCGCGGAGAGGAAGCTGAGGGCGTGCATTGCGAGTGTCGTAAGAGCCCCACGAGGAATGTCGCGACAGATCTGGCACCACTGCACTGTCGAAAGAGCTCCAAGAACTTTGGCGACTTGGCGGCGGAGCCTCGTCATCAACAACGCGTCTATCGTCACAATCCAACGTACGTTCAACGGAACCGTAGATAACATCACTCTGTTTAAGTTTCACATCCATAATACCACTATCACTCTTCACTATATTGTCACTATCACTAGTGATCCTATTTTCTTCGCTGTTAGCCCATTGCACTTCCCCAGGATCCCAAGTGTGTATTTTCTCAAAGTCGTTATCTAACTGCGAATATTTGTGACCTATGTTGCGTAGCGGAGACGCCTGAGCGACGGCTGCCTCTCCGATATTACTTGCCGATGTATGATCGGCAATGTTATTAAAATTTAGCCTCTGATTCCTACGTGGAATATCTTTTTTTTCGCCTGATGCTGCATTCTCTATTTCGTTAATGATATGCTTAACCGAAAGAGTACCGTCTTCTTTCAATCTAATGATTTGATTTGGTGACACACTATAACTCCCACTAGCACAGGGCATCAACATATGCCTTGTCTCTGAAATAGCCAAATTTTCAAGTGACACGGAAGTCGGTGGCAGCATCTCCGAAGCTAATTTAGTGTCCGGGGACCAGGATCGAGGTCTTCCTGTATACGACCTCCTCAGTGCTAGGGCTAATGGCGAGGGATCGGTTATTTTGTTATCCATTTTGGATGTATTTTTAGGAGACTTGAGGTTAGTTTCTGACTTAGACCTTTGTAACTTTTCTTTATTCTTCATTGCGTCGAGTATACCTTGGTAAGTCTCGAGTTGGTTCAAAAAATTAGTGTTAGGTTTGATACAGCTTCTTTTAGCCTTAACATGTTTGAGAGCTTTGTCGAAATTCCAATTAAACGCCTTCATCGCATAAGCAATAACGACTGATGCGGATCTGCTGATGCCCATCTTGCAATGAACGAGAACCTTTGAGCCTTCATTTCTCGCTTTGTTGATATATTTATAAGTGTTATCCCAATGTTTTAAAAGGTCAGTCTTATCGTCATCATAAACTCTTATATTCAGGTAGTCAAACATACCAGGGAAAAAATTGTCTATCTCTCTTGTTACATTCAGTATATGTCGAACGCTGAAAATAAAAGATAATGAGATGAGACATTTTAAAATATTTTTTCTTATGATAGAAGAGGTCAGAGCATGGGGTTACTTAAGTGAAATTTCTTATCCATATAACAATCTAAGCAAGATGTGCTGGTGACCTATTTTGGCTTTGGATATTTGAAAATCCACTGCCTAAAACCGAAACGCGATTAAACTGCATGGGTTTTTCATCGAAGTGGACGGTTGTAGGCGACCCGGACGGAATGTCGAACCACCTATTTAATGTCCATATTTTCAGACAAGGTCCAATGTTTCAGAAAAAATACAAATGAGCATGTTTGACCGGGGGGATCGTACCCACGACCCATTAATTATTAGCCATTCCATTAGACCAAAGAGCGCGTAAATTTACTTGGATAATAGCCGACAGAAAAAATCTTACCCATTTCTCTGTAATTCTTCTAGATTGCTCGCGTTCCATTCTGAACCCAAATATACGTGATCAAATATTTCCGTGGGCGCGTCCATTTGGCCAAGTATAGTGAGCATTTCTTGATCTATGAAGGACTTGTATTCAGCGAGGTCCATATCGAGTTCGTCCTCGAGGCGACCTCGAATCGCTTTGCTCGTCACTTCGTCGAGATCCACGCTCATCATTATTTCCTTCAGCGTACATCTGATTACGCGCTCTGTTTCGTCTCTTTGACGAGGCCTGAAAATAAAACAAAACTGAAGTATAGAGCTGATTTTTTATTAAGACGACGAAAGACAATATTTATTACTGGAATGTACGGCGACATCCGTAAAAGGACACCATAATTATCAATGCTTGACGCATCTCGATACACGTTATATTATAATAAACGAAACACTCGAATAGATTATAAATAATAATTAGATCGGGGCGTGCGCTGTATCGATTACTAAATGACGGGTCGAAAAAAAATCACTAATTTACGCAGTGATGAATGTCGGATCATGTACAATTATTTCGCTGAGCATTTTGCACGCAGCAAATGTGTTTAATTAGCGTATTTACCAACGTCCGATCCTTACCGAGGCCGAGAAATGAGGTCTAGGTACCGTAACCGTTTTATATCGTAACAAGATTTATATGCAAACGAAATTGCTGATTTATCATATTTCGGTTATTAAATATAATTAGAAGTATTTAAAACTATTTTAACATAGCTGTACTGCTGTATATAAATACAAAACGAGCAATAGTAAACTTAGGTACATATATTTTTAATAAAAACTGAAAGTCAGCGATGTTTAATTCGTAAAAAAAAGGTCAATGAATGTACATTATCCCTTTTTTGATAAACTGTGGTAAACCTTTAATAGGGCATAACGATGTCAAGTGAAATCCCGTTACCCCTTTGTGGGGCAGATTCATTTCTGTGTCCATTTCACTGATTAATTATAGTTATTTACAGACAAGCAGTTTCTTAGAGTTCACATTAAGCGCCCTGGCTATCGAAGCTATTTATAACTTTTTTGTATGATAGAGTAGGATAAGTATGGGATCCACTTGATGGGAGGTGATATTCCCTAGCCATATAACATCCCAACAATGTGCCGTTGACTTATTTTGGTTTTGGATATTCGCCTTCGCTTTCTCGAAAGCCTTTTCTTCAAAAGACCCGAGCCTTAAGAGGCATTGCGTTTTACCTTAAGCAACGGAGGAGGTTTTGATGACAGAGGCAAACAAAAAAAAGAGTATTTCTATAATGATACTGCCATAAGATATTAACTCACTTATGTCTGAGCGAGTCGGGAGACGGGGGACGCCGTGACTCGATACAGTCCATGGCATGCCATTCGTTGAGGCATGATCTGTCCGAGCCAATGTGGCTCTCATAGTACTCGCACCAGACGTGGGACGTCCCGCCGGCGAAGTGGTTCAACTCGCGCGCCCTGCCACTAGCACGGTGGAGAGTTTGTAGCGCCGACCTGGTGGATCAAATTCGACCATAAATATTGCAACATCTATTCTTTGCCAAAGCAATTAGACGAAGCGAGTATGCAATCTATACTAATATTATAAAAAGCTGACGAGTTTGTTGGTTTGAACGAGCTAATGTAAGGATCTACTGGTTTAAATTGAAAAACTATTTTTGTGTTGTTTGCAGCATTTATCGATGAAACCTTCATCGATAAAGGCTATAAATGCTGTGACTAACAGGCGCGAAAAACAATGGGAAATGTGAAAAAACGGAAAAAATATTCATTTGTAAGGGTTGCCGTTGCGTGTGCGGCGAATACGGTTAGAGATACATAACACATTTGTATGGACGAATTATTTCTCTTTAAATATTTTAAAAGAATGTCCGCACCAGTGTATATCTATCTTCTAAGATTACATCATAAGAATCGTTTTTATGGTAATGAAACTTTGGTCAAAATATTTAATATGGCAAAAAACGGTTGCAGGCTAGCTAGTAATCAAGGAGAGTGCAAGACTTGGGATTGCCAATAACTTATAAGAAAAAAGTTCTCGAAAGACTGGATGTTATTCTAAACCTTTTTTTATTTATCGACAAGCTTGGAAATGAAATAGGAAGTGCCTTTAGAAAAGCGTTTCAAGATATTTTTTAAGGTATTTTTAGAAACGACAAGGACAATACTGTACTAATAATGCACTTTATTAAGAGAGTATAATAATGTACTTATTTAAAAAGTAATAGAACAAAAATGAAGTAAATAAAGTCAATACATACAAAAATGATGTTTCCAATATAGTGCGTTCAATGTCAATTATACTACAATATTGTAGAAAAAGTTGTATTATATTGTAAATACATACCACATGGCTTGCACAGACACCGGTTTGAATATATGTTGACGATTGCACACACACACGCTAAACCCACTGTGGACAATGAATCCTTAATTAGTTATTGTTCCTTGCCTGTTACCCGTAAGTGTCACACTAAATTTGTATGAAAAGCTTGGCCTTTGTTTATTTAGAAAATCGAAGTACTGAAGACACTTGCATTTTTTACGTTTTGTAAACTAAAAGAAACCGCGAAATATCTCTATATTCTTCATCACAATGCTTCCAAACGAAGCGCGTGCTTAACCATTGTATGTAATGTATTGATTGAATGATGATCGCATGTTCAAATTTTTTGAGTAAATATTTTCAAATGCAGCTCAAGACCTATAAATTAGTTATGCTAAATAGCGAGTTACCTAGATTACATCTAGAACAAGTGACGTTGAACTCTTTGTAACGATCCGTTTTTATAACAATTGTACATTTGGAATAATCGGTTATGATTCATCGGCTTTTATATTCTAATTTGGAAGTAACGGTAGTATCCGTATATATATAATAACGTATTTAATATTCGTTTAAAGTAAAACGAGGCGAACTTCTTGTCGGTATTATTGTATTTTGAAGCAGAATGTTCACAATTTTGAAGAAGACTTTATGATTATTTTCTATATTGATATCGAATCTAAAGAACGTTTGTTTTTTTTTTAAGATGTCTGTTATTATTTGAGTTTAAAGTAAAGTAGGTATATATTGTTTAAAGCAAAAATAGATTAAATATAAATTATATTTTAAAATGGAGCGACAGTATTTGTATTTTATTTAATAGAAAAAAGAACCGAAAATAAGTGACATTTTATTCATGAATAATTAATCATTATTTAGATTGAATCGGGACGTCTAGCAATGCTAGTTCAAGCCAAGAATTTATATATAAATATTATAGTTGAAATGCCTATTTTTCGATAGGCTTTCCAATAATGCCTGATAGTTTTCAACGACCGATTAAAAATAGGGCTTGAAACATATTTTCTAAATCACATAGCAATTCAAATGTACGATATTACAATAATAGAAATCGAAGAGAAATCTTTGATAGATTTCGCACTATCGACCTGAAATACAAACAGCAGAATTCCTTTAAGCAGGTGTATCCAATCGGTAAGGTTCAGACGATTCACGGTATAATGCATATTGTTAAAGGTCAAACTAAGTTAATGTCTCAACCAAGGGCGTTCCTATCACTTACATTCGCTCTTACCGCTATATGTCACTGGATTTGTATAAATCTGAACTAGGTTACAGCTAAAATACTGCCCCAATTATGATCTGCCAAAGCCACTTGAGCATAATGAAATGTCCTCGAAAAGAATAAAACATTCACAAAGTTGAGTGATCTGAGAAGAAAAATCTCAAACAATGAATGGTCAAGGCCGCTAGTTCGTGCGATTAGTAGGTCGTGTACGGGTTGTAATAATTGCGCATTTATATATACGTTATTTGTTAGGCAAATTTAACCATAGAAAAGTTGTATTTTGGCTCTAAACAATCACATTAATACACTAAAAAAAAACAAACTATTCAATATATCATTGCAAATTTATATCAACGCTATTTATAGATATCGTCAAAATTAATATCTATAGAAAATGGTTTAAAATATTAAATGATAATCATTATCATAATACTCGTGATTAAAGCATTTATCGATTTAAAAGAGTTTTCATTCAGAACTGTATTTTAATTTAGTAAAACAAAAAACGAATTTTTAACAATGTACCTACTTATGGTACTATTCAGGGTTAAGTAGCTATTGTTTACTATCCTTCAGTTGAAACTTCTAAAAACGAGGCCATATTTCAAATTCAGTTGAAAATGTTTGTGAATATACTTGCCCATCGCCATCCAGTTTGATGGATGTGTCAGCGAGCACTCGCAGTACCAGTCCCACGGTGGTGCCTTCATTGCAATCGATGCCGAGCAGAGCTGCCTCGTCGTACCGACAAACTACCACCAGGTAGCGGGTTCGCCCGGCATGAGCGCTCTCCAATTTCACCGCCTAAATCATATCGTCCCATTAAAAGTCTGTACTACCTAGGATTACATTCAGTGCCTTGCAACAACAAGTGATGAGAAACTTTATTAGTTTATGAAATTTGGACTATGTTTGCGTCAGCTCAGGTATGTTTGTTAAATACAAAGTCGAACTCTTACTATATATTGTGTATACTGGTAATAAAATAATAATTCAGTTTCAGTATTCAAGGGAGGGCCGATGTGGGGCTGTATTTACCTTATCAGGAAGGATTAGTAAAAGATTAAGACTAAAAAGAAATTTAACAGTAGTCAAAAATCGATTATAACGAAAAATTTACATGTAAGGAACGCTATTAAGCAACTAATAATATTTAAAAGATCATGCCGAAAAAAAACTTTATATTATACATATTGTAAAAGGACGGTCTCTTGCCTATCTAACGAAGCAAAAAAGATACCATTTTGAGCGTCTCCTCCGGCCGCACCAAGTAAAACATGGACTGTAAGTGGTGATGTATGTCTGGCTGGGGTTGAACGCGGGCCGGAGATCTCCGCCGATCAGCGCACCCGTTCTCCGCACTGCCCAGCACCAACGCCGCGCCCTTGTTCGCGAAGTAGCACTCATTGAGGCTGAAACAAGAATAAATCTCTAACAACAAGGCCTACTACAAATTTCTATAATCAATAAAAACCTATACGATCCCAATGCAGGCTTAAAAAAATTGCGCCTTCATACGTATGAATGACGCCATTTTTTAAAGTTGCCGCAATCGGCACTTGCGTGGCGTTTACCTCCCTTTCACCAGAGCCTTTGCTCACTGATCAGGCGCAGACAGAAGTCGACTTAGCTCGCGGAGACGTCAGACGACGCGCTGGCTGGCCCTCGAACCGTGGGCTCACCGTAATACTTATTTAGTCATGATTAGTCATACATCGCGCGTACATTCATTTTTATTTTGGTAATCGTTACAATATAGGGAAATGAATAATCTTTATGTTAGCAGATAGTATGAACACTAACAAAAGATCTATTTTAGTATTAACAGAAGAATAGTTCAAACGAAAAATTGCGCCCGTATAATTGCCAAATTCACTTCGTATTTTTACTTAAAGAGTAATAACTAATAATGTGGGGCGACTTTGTGTTGAAATTATCAAATACTTTAGGTGTCATTTCCATTATAGTAGCAAGGGCGGGTGCTCTCAAGGTTTGATAAAAATAGAGTAGCGGCTCGTTGCCAAAGAAGCGTTGCGCGACCATACATGCGCGTATGTTGAATCGCAGCATGTGCGTTGCTTCTACGAGCGCTTTACCACATATGGACCGAGGTACGACATTCGGCGTAGAGTATTTTATGTGTACTATCGAAAATTCGACTTTATTTTGTCTACCATTTTGACATAACTATTCCACCAACATTTTTGATTAGTATGATGTAGATGAATTAAAAGAAATCCACAATTGATGCACTTCATTTACGTGATAAGATACTATATTTACAAAGGAAACACTATTCTACTGTACTAATGGGGGTAAACAGTAACCTCATTATATTGATCGTTTTAAACCGCCTTTCGGACGATAAGTCTCAAACGGTTTAAGTTATTTTCGAAGTGTTTGTTTATCTAATTCTTTATCGAATTCCTAACGACGTACTAAATTCAATTAGTAAGTATTAAGGAACAATATTAGTCGCTTAGCAATGTTTAAGTAAAATGTCAGTTTCCAATTAATTTAGTAAAGTATCGTGATATAATTATTATCAGCAAAATCTATTTTCGATTTTATTCAATAAGATTATACACGTATAAATAATATTAAGGACGACGAGATGTAAGTCAGATCAGTCAGATAAATTCATCAATCAATCCTACATTCAGAACTTCGGGAAATAAAAGTTTAAAACGAGATTATAATATGGCTTGAAAATGCAAGGTCTAGACAACTTGAGTTCATAGCCCTTAATATAACAAAATATAAGTATATATTAAAATAAACAGTATGTATCCTCTCCGATTAATAAGCGGACCTACAATAATAATTATACTATTACGATGTTCAATCACAACACACGATAACAAATTTGTAAACACACGCAAATAAAAAACAACAACACTTTACCTAAATGCAACCATGGTGTACAGGACATTTATTGTATATAGGAACTATCTGATAAGCGCACAATTGTTTATCACAGTTATATACACCACTAGAAGTTATAAACACACAATTCTGTGACGGTGGTTTTTGTTGAAAACTCGCGGACGGATGTGGTTTGTCTTACGGCGCGGGCGCACAGGCCACTGTGCGCCTCACGGTGCACCATCCGACACGGACGTACGCAACGCTTACCAAACTACAATACACCGCATGCGCAGACATTACCCCGTAATGCCCGCTGTCAGACGTGACGACGTCACAGCTTTTCTCTGTATTCTGAACCGAGCGTGTATTGCGAGGTAAATATAGAAATGCGAAGCAGAACAGGACCATTGGGAGTTCGGGAAGCGTTACTAACAACACGCGAGATAAAACTGATCGCCTGCTTAATTCTCGAACGTGTTATTGTTTGCGGAAAACCCTTAAGTTCGCAACAGGAAAACATGCTTTGTATTTATCTATATAATAAGGAATAGTTGATATGTATCATACTAATTAATAAAAGCAATTGCTACTAGGTACAAAAAAATATTATTACTATCGTAAACACATTAGAAAGCTTTTTTTTTCAATAAATTTAATAGAGGTTTGCCAAAAAAGAAAATATAAATTATCTTTTATTGCATAGTTAATTAATAGTAAACAATATGAAAAAAAAATAAAAAGGTTTCATTATAGAAGATCAAATATATAAAGACCAATGTCAAGCGGGAATAGATAACTTCCCGGCAAAGACTTAGCGAGAAATCATTTCAGAGGATTTGATAACAAAGAGGACTTTTATATATTTAAGTTTCGTCGTAAATATATTATGTTATATTATATAACGAAATTGATACACGCGTAATACACATCATATTTCTACCATTAAAGACGCAAATCGTTTCCTAAATTCCTAGTTAAAAAATTTCCTTATTAATTATCAACCAAAAAAAGTGTTAACTTAATGAATAAATTATGTACAGGTCCCCGTAATAAACATTTCCAGAAATAATACGTCTCTTTACGTTTAATTTGTTTTGTTAGCGTTTGTTTAAAAAAAAGTAATGATTTATAATTTCATATAGGATACTGGTTACTACGTTTTTACGTTCAAGTCCTGTTGTATCGAGTCTCAAGAAGCTGGATGGCCTCGACATCCACGTCATGAAAGTGAAGTAGGTTGTTGTGGTTGATGAGTTTGGGAAATATTTTTTTACAACATTACCAAAATGTCTGATTATTATTTTTCAATAAATATGACAGCAATGCTCTTTTATGTCAAATGTTGAAGCTTTACAATCTTAAGAAAATCTTGTTAACACTAAATCATTTTTAAAACAATAATAATTATTATAAGGACTATAGTCAAGATCAAAAATATAGTATTATTAACATTCAGCTATAATTACATACATGATAAAGGTGTGTTAAGTCTAAATATTGCTATGAACAAGTTAAATTGAAAACCATTATTATGGTGACTACAATATACGAGGGAAAAATCTACATGATAAAATGTTTGTAATAAAGTGTTTGTGTTTGACCAAAATTAACAATTATTGAAAACAGTGTATTGTGTGTAAGAAAGTTAAAATATTACATTTTTATAAAAATGAGAAGAACAAAATTTATCAAGAACAAAAAATTTAATGAAACAAAAACTAAAAAATCTACAATGTGAAAAATGTACAAACATACTGCACACCCACAAAATAATGTCACAATACAATGGATCCTGATATAAATCTCACCTTTTACTGGTCCTACTATTGACATCGTCTTCAACAAATTCAGTAGATTTTTCTTCGTCATCCTGAAACATTTACAAAGGTAAGATAACGGTAAAAAAATGTTCATTTCAACATTATTTAGAAGATAAGAAAAGTATGACACGCAAAAAATATAAGTAATGTCAGAAATTTACAGGGTAAATTTTGTCCTAGACTCAAAGAGTAGAGTGAGTGACATATGAACATAGGTTAACATTAACTTGCATTACATTTTTGAGAGGTCTTGACATTAAATCCAGGGGAACCTTAATCTAATGTTCCAGTCAGACAAAACACAGAAGCCTGACATTTACTTAACTATAAATAAAATGGATTCATGTGGAGAAACAATATTGAAAATAAAAAAGAACTTAATTAATTTTCCAAAGATACATTTGCATAAAATATTAATTCCTTATACACTATTGTCTTCTTTTGTTATAGTTTTATCAATGTTAAGAATTGTTATAGTATATAGTCATGACCCTTAGAAAAAGTAGTAATTAGATGTAAATACTTAAGACTGCAAATAATTTAGTTCTACATTATCATAATATATAGAACAGTTCAGAAATAGGTGATTCCAAGGGCTATCACTAATAATGACAAAGGTGCATAATTCGATGGTACTAACACTATCGGTTCAATTTGAATTTAGTTCTTAAGTTTTGAAAAAATTTGAACATCCGTATTTGTTATTTGTACTCACCGTTTCCTTAGACGTTTGGACACTCGGAGTACGACGAATTGTTACCAATGCCATACCACATTAGTCCTAACCGATCATCGTCTATGCAATACACCACAAGCATAAAACGAATTAATATAGAGTTATCACACAAATAATCTTTGAATGAATCACTAAATATAGGGTAACTAGAAAATCATAACCGTATTTACAAAAGGTTTTTGATTCACACCTAACACGTTATTAAAAACAAAGTATAGCACCGATAACTTTAAAAGTTTTAAGGGATAGTAACGATCCAGTAACTTTTACAACAATTTATAACAAAATTAATTTGTTGCAATTGTCTTACAAATTTGCTGTATGTATCAAAAGCAATCTCCAATACCTATAGATATGTTACGAATCTATGTATCTAGCAACGAGCAAGAAATTACATAGTAAAAAACAATCAAGAGCAGAGGTAAAGAAAGGAATCTGTCAATTGTCAATAACTTCTACAGAGTGCCATTATGTCTTAACTCTATCACAATCAAAAATAGAATATATTTAACCTATGGATTTACTAGCCTTGTGTTGTGAATCTGTAGTAGTTCTCCGAATTTGGATGTTGATAAATGATAAAATTTACTTTACGTAATAATAAAACAATTTCGTTTATATAATTGATTAAATCAGTATAGACTCTGCTACTAAATACGTGTATTTCGTTTGAACTGAATGATAACAATTATATAAAAGTTAGGTAAATAGTGTGAATGTATTGTACTTTCGGAAATGCTGTATCGTTTATTGAGGCACTTTTCCAATGATGCTAAACCCTATGATATGACATCCTTACAGTTGTACAAACATTTATTACGCCAATGCGAAAGATTGCCGCCAGACGCTTGTAAACATTACAAATTCGCCGTAAAACAGGTAATTTCACCTATATTTTTTAATAACATGTAGTACATTAAACACGTACAGTGTTTACAGATTTTAAGAAGACTATGCAATGAAGTCAGCAGAAATTCTCACTTAAAAATAATTTTATAGTAGGTATTTCCAATATTAAAACTAAACCTAATTTTTTACAGAGTTATAAGCAGCATAAGGCAGAATTGGACCCTGAAAGGATAAAAGAGATAATATGTAAGAGTAAGGAAGATGCTAAATGGATCATTAACAAGGTTCAAATAAATTGAATGTTATATGGGAAATAATTTTTTTATATTATTTATAACTGTGTAAATAAATGTTCTTATTTCTTTTACAGTATACCAAGTGAAAATGGATTTAGGATGCAAAATACTTTGCCCTGTTGGAGTGTTAGAGAAAATTCATGTTTTTTGTAAGCTATATATTTTTATTATTTTATAAAGAATATGTTTGGAGAAAGAATAGAAGAATATGAAATATTAGAACATCTTGGAAAAGGAGGATTTGCACATGTATATAGAGCAAGATGCAGGAAAACAGGCCTATTTGTAGCTATCAAAATGATAGACAAAGCTTTAATGGCCAGAGCTGGAATGATCGGAAGAGTGAGACAAGAGGTTACTATACACTCTCGCTTAAAGCATCCAGCAATCTTAGAATTATACACATTTTTTGAAGATGCACACTATGTATACTTAGTTTTAGAATTAGCACATAATGGTGAGTTAGCTAAGCACTTCAAATTAGGTACTCGTGGCCTTTCAGAGCAAGCTGCTGCTGATATTTTTAGACAAGTTGTGAGTGGAGTCTTATATCTCCACACACATAACATAATACATAGAGACCTGTCTCTAAATAATTTATTATTGACTAAAGATTTAACTGCGAAAATTGCTGATTTTGGTTTAGCCACTCAGTTAAATGGGCCTGATGAAAAGCATGTGACAATGTGTGGGACCCCAAATTACATATCACCAGAAGTCGCATCAAGGGAACTTCACGGTCTACCAGCAGATGTATGGGGACTAGGGTGTATGCTTTATACATTATTAGTTGGCAGTCCTCCTTTCCATACGCAACATGTTAAAACAACCCTAAACAAAGTTATCAAAGCAGATTATACCATTCCTCATGAATTATCATTTCAAGCCCAGGATCTATTGCAAAGACTATTGTGTAAAGACCCATCTAAAAGAATAACACTAAAGTGTATAATGGAACATCCTTTTCTTAATAATGTATTTGATGTTGCTGGATCATCAAAGCAAGATTTATCAAAGGACTCAGGGTTTCTAACAACTTTACATAGCACTCAGCATAGTAACAATAAATTTAGTTGTTCTAAAAGAAATAATTCTGAAATTCCTACAAACAATTTTAACTGCCAATTGCCAGCTGAAAGCTTAAAGTATGGTGATAAATTGGAAAACAAACAACATCTTAATCACAACATATTAGCTCAACACCAAGATAATTATGGATCCACTGGTAGTAGTTCATTTAAATTGTTTGGTTCAAACTATAATCCAATATGCTGTACTGAAAATGTTCCTCAACTTACAACTCCTAACTCAAATGTTGTGTGTCTGTCTGAAGATATTAATAGACTAATGATAAAAGAAAACCCTGAATTACTGGGATTAACTGAAGAAAATAAGGAGAATTTTCCTAAACAATGTGTAAGTAATTCTAACACTATAGGTGTTCCACCTCTTTGTGCCGACCGATTGCCATCTATATCCCACAGAACAAGAAATGCTATCCTCAAAATAGAATCAGCAGGTGTAAGTGTGGAATTTATTAAAAAGAAAGGAAAAGGTCGGGAAGAAAGAGTGGTTGAAATTTGTAATATATCTAAAGATGGAATGAAAATCGTAATATCTAATCCTGATAAGGGAACAGAAATAGTTGATCACAAACCAAAGCAAGATGAAATATTCTCCTATCATAATTTGCCACAAAAACATTGGAAAAAGTATTTATATGCTGCCCGTTTTGTTGATTTGGTTAAAGCTAAAACACCAAAAATAACTCTTTATTCTTCTTTAGCAAAGTGTCAGCTCATGGAAAATGGAACAGATATAGAAATGTTCTTCTATAATGGTGAAAAAATTACATACACATCAGCTGAGGGTTTAAAAATTATTGATAAAAATTTAAAAACACATCACAATTTTACAACTCCAGAATTAATATACTTACATGATCATTATAAGGAATGTTCTACAAGAATGAAGAAAATTGAAGGGGCATTATCATGCATTGCAGATGAATGTTACCCTCTAATCATTGGTAAAAGGCCTGTTCAATATTTAAACAGTAATTTAGACACCGGCTTACATAATAACATTAACAGAAATACTCCTCTTTTAAATTATGGATCATTTCATCGCGCTACACCTTGTTCTAGTCATGCCCACAGTGAAAAATAACTTGTCACTGCAGTAAACAAAATTTCAAGGATGTATGTATTTATTCCTTCATAATTACATTATTTTTATGGACATACTTATCCCGCAATAGTATATGATGACTCGAAAATGTATGTATTTAGTAGGATGTAATAAAAATTATCCTAGTATCTTTGATTTTTATTTCATAACTTTGCTATAAATCATTTTTTATACTTTTTATACTATAATTCAATTTACAACCACAACGCAGTATCTTCGTAAATCAGTGCAGGTCTAAAGGTCTCAGCACACATATGGGACCGAAAAGGGATCGTAACCGTAACGCCTCGAGCCGTTCAGAATGGTTTGTATTAAACTCCCTACTGCAACGCACACTAATCGGAATCATAACGTAATCGCCTCGCCTCGGAACAGGCTCCGAACTTGCAATTCCCGCGCTTACGGCTCATCGTCCCCGCGCTTACGTCTTCCTTGCTTTATTCATATTGTGTACCCAAAATCTTTTTCTTTTTCCACGTAAGCGCGGTGTCGCCTAGCCGTAGTCGAGTTGTCGTACAGGCGCTGCTGATACGCTTTCGTTACGTGCGTACGGTAGGTTGACGTCTGGTTGACAGCGAGGCGAAAGGCGTTACGGTTACGATCCCTTTCCGATCCCATATGTGTGCTGAGACCCTTATACTCCGGCCTCTATGATTTTATTATTAAGTATTCAAAATTAAACAAAAAGTAGAGTAAAGAGGCTTCATAACTTTGTAATAACATATTCTATACATTTTAGTTTAAAAAAATGGTTAGATACCCATCTTTTAAAACTAACTAACAGTTCTAGTAAATAATATATAGGTAACCATTTTAGTTAATTTACCCTATATGAAGCATAGTCTATGACAAGGCAATATAATAAGTAACATGTGCGTTAATCTACTTTTAGTAAACAGACTATAGACAGAATCTAATATAGAGTATAATTGCCATTCCACCTCATGTTACTGTAAATAAGTTTAATTTAGAGCTGGCAACATTAGTGACATCCATCTTTTTGTCACGATGCCTCCTAAGAAGCAACCAGAGAAATCGGGTACGTTATTATGTTTTAATCGAATTTATTTAGGAAAACGATTGAATATCTTTTATTGTATTTTTCTTTCAGTCTAAAATTTTTGATAATATAAAATTAATAGGTGCGTAACCGTAAAACAATGTAAACGATAAACAACATCTACACTTGACGTTTCGCTTTGGCCACGCGGTTCAGTTCATACAAATTTTGTGAATTTGGTCAGAATTCTAATGTTTTATTTCTGTTTCTTAGTTAGTAGCATTATACTACAACAGATATTGTTCATAAAAAGTGTATTGTTTCAAAATAATTACTACATTATTTGAGGTTAGTAGTAGGTGCTTCATGTTTCTGAGGTTACAATTTATAGATGATAAGAGTAGTTTTTGTTTGGTTGTGTATCAAAGTTTATTAAGTGATTTGCACTTTTAAGGGTCCTCAGGATCGAAGCCGGCTGAAAAGAAGCCAGCTTCTGCCAAAACCCCTGCTGCAGCGCCAAAGGTTGCAACATCATCGGCAAGCTCTGCTAAGCCTGCATCTGCCAAAACTCCTGCTCCAGCTCCCAAAGCTGCTGCCTCCAAATCGGCACCTAGTGCTGCTAAACCTGCGCCAGCTAAAGCAGCTGCGGCTAAACCAGCTGAAAAGAAATCCGCAGCTCCTTCTGCTAAACCCGGCTCTGCAAAGGCTGCAGCATTGAAAACTAAATCAAGTGCAAAGCCTTCAGTTAAGAAAGCAGCAGCAGGCAAGATTACCAAACCTAAACCCGCAGCTGCAAAGTTAAAGATTGCACCCAAGCCCAAGAAGACTGGCATTAAGGGACAAAAGAAAGTTGTGAAACCAGTAGTTAAGGCCCTTAAAGCTCAAAGAAAGGTTTGTTTAATATGTTACTGCCACTTTTTCATATAGTTTATTTATGATATTAAAAATATATAATATGTTTCATAGCTTGGGTAGTTTTCATTGAGTACATTCGCAAACTAATTTTCAAGATTATGTCACACATATCACAATTGTAATGAATTGTATTATTTCAGGTTGTCAAAGGTGAACATGGAAAAAGGATTCGTAAAATCCGCACTTCTGTGCATTTCCGTAGGCCAAAGACCTTTGAAGCACCAAGGCACCCCAAGTATCCTAGGAAGTCATTACCTAAAAGGAATCGGTAAGTCAAAATAACAACCCATTATTAACTTAATACTTTTTTAAAGTAAAAAATTATTTGTAACTTAAAGTATAAATACTGTAAAATTAAGGTCATCCAAAACTTTACAGTATTGTCAATTTGACAACAAATGTTTTTCCTTTAAGGAATCATGGAACTGGTTAAATTTAATTCCTTGACATATTTTTATTTCTGCCATCACATGTTAAAAATAAATAATTTTCTTTCAGTATGGATGCCTACAACATCATTAAGTACCCCTTGACTTCTGAAGCTGCAATGAAGAAAATTGAAGACAACAATACTTTGGTATTTATTGTACACACCAGCTCTAACAAACATCATATTAAGGCCGCAGTCAAGAAACTATATGATATCAATGTTGCAAAAGTGAACACGCTGATCAGGTTTGTTTTTAATAAATTTTCTTTTCTTTTTTTAATGATCGCTACATGATGAGATATTTTAGTGGGAATCTCTTTGATAAACGATGAAATAAGAATAACACAACTCTGAGTTTTACGTAAAATAAAACCAACTATAATAATGTTTTACCCATTTTCACATAAAGTTTATTTTTCTTTCAGACCTGATGGTAAGAAGAAGGCGTACGTGCGGTTAGCGCGAGACTACGACGCTTTGGACGTAGCAAACAAGATTGGAATCATATAAACATCTTATTTTTTAAGAATACAAACTAAAATTACAAGCTGCTGTTTCATTTTTAATACTTGTTATAGACTAAAATAATTTTCAACTCAAAACAGCCGACTTTAAGGACATCTATACTAATATATTATAAAGCTGAAGAGTTTGTTGGTTAGAGCAATTATTGAGGAAGGCTATAGCCTAAAACATTGCACTGTGACTATAGTGAATAGGAGCGAAGAAAATGCGGTAAAAACGATGAACTTTATTCTTTGTAGGTTTCCGATGCGTACGCTGCGAAAATGGTTCAAGATACACAAACAATATATGTTAGAATGCTTCTTTCAATGGTCCATAAAATGTCCACAACACTATGTATATCTCTTAAGATTAACTTGCAAGAACGACAGGATGCGACCGATGACGTTTTGCAAAAACAATTTTGGGTGCCCAAAATAATTATGCCACGCGGACGAAGTCGCTGACTCAGCTAGTAATAGACAAATTATTTAAGGAATAGGTTTTATATATTTGTTTTTTCAGTGCCAAGTTAAACTATTTAGTTTAAATTCATATTATCAAACTTAAGAAATTTAAATTACAAACGCACTAGGTGCCCCGACGATTTTTAAAGAATAAACCTAGTACGGTCGAATTGATAACTTTTTTAAAGTCTGTTCAATATATATCTAGATAATATTATAATTACATGTATGTAGCTACATCATTCTTAATTTGGATGTGCATAATTTCCATTTAAAAAATGTTAAAAAAATTTTTTTTTTCATTTTTAACAAACCTTTAATGCATTTGTAACTGCTTTAAGTACTAATGAAATGTACCTAAAAAAATACATACTGTTTTCAAATATTGTTATCATTTGAGACCAAAGCCATCCATCTCCATTGCTTTGGTCATCATACTCCATAGATAAGAAAAGTATTACTTCAAGTACCGATATAGGAAGGCATACTCAAAACACGGATGTAGAAAATAGTTTAATGACATATTATGTAAAGGCTATAAAGCTAAAAGTGATATTTAACACGTGAACAAGACTAGAACATCATTTCTAGTCATCAGTCGACTTTTTTTTGTCAGAGGAAGACAGGCAAGCAGAAGGTTCACTGGATCGCAGTGGCGTAGCTGTCGTAGGGCCAGGTGGTACAGTGCACCAGGTCCTCGAAACCAAAGTCGAAACTCTCTAACATTATCTTTGAGAAGATATAAGCGTAGAAGAAAATGATTTTTTAAAGTTCTTGTTGCTATTTATAATTTTGGAGGTTCATTTAATTCAAACTATGCTAAAAGAGGGGATGAGGACCCGATTCTTTCTTGAACCTTAGGATTAGGTAGACCGTCCGCCTAGCTATGCTTCTGCTTGATCGTGGATGAAATACCTCATCTTTTGGCTTCAGATATCCACAGAATAAAAACGAAACCCTCAGTAAACCTTTTCAGAATTTATAATTTTGGAAATCGCACCCACGACTCGTTGTTGAGCCATACATTGCTAGCATTAGACCGTCATAGTTCTAGGCTTATTACATTAGTCGTAATCCTTACTAATATTATAAATGCGAACTCTGTCTGTCTATCTGTTACTCTTTCACGCCAAAACTTCTTAATGGATTTGAATGAAATTTGGTACACATATGGACTAGACCCTGAGAAAGAACATATGCTACTTTTTATTGCGAAAAGGGGGAGTGAAAGTTTGTATGGAAATTCGTGGTTTTTGAAGATAGAACATTAAAACTTTCTTCTTTGGCTTTTTGAGAATAGGTGTGGGATTGGGAGTGAGAGTGAGAGTGGAAGTTAGAGTAGGAGTGATGTGAGGTGAGAGTGTTGCGGCAAAGCAGCACTTACAACATAGATTGGCTGCGATAAATACGCAATTAAATAAATTAATAAACAGCCTAAATAATTAAAAATTCTACCCCAAGTCACTATTCCACGCGAACGAAGTAGCGGGCACAGCTAGTTTTTTATATAATAGATACTTATTAAAGACTACAACAGTCATTAGCTCCCGGTGTTAGGGTTAATATTAGGTATAGCGTTTCATACCTATTTTTTTAAATAATTAAGTAAATACACTAAGCTGGCCTCACAAAATAAAATCATGTCATCCAAGAGACCATCTTCTTTTTATAATTCCGATAATGTTATTTAATGACTATCGATTTAAAAATCGATCTTGCAATATCATGGCATTGAAGCTTAAGCATGCGTATTACAATTTTTATTAACAGACTTTATTCGGGCATCTACATATTTAAAATCAAAGACTATACCATACACCTCATATCACGTATCATGTAATGGCATATCGCAATGTTATTATTATTATGACGAAACAGTTCAGTGGTGCGTATACATATTAGGTATGCTAGAACTAGCTGACGGCAAACGTTCCTTTGTTATATCTTAGTTATTTCGGCCAAATTTCATTACCATAAAAACGGTTCTTGTGGGTTAAACTTAAAAGATAGGTATATACTGACGCTGACATTTGATCAGACTTTTTTTTAATTTTATAAACATACTTTTGGGTATGATGAACAGTTTTCGCAACGCACCAAATAAAACCCTTAAAGATTTTTCACATTTCCGCCTGTTTCTTCGATCGATCGATATTGGTCGCAAATTGTATTTTTGTAACCTACAGCCATTCTCTATGAATACACCCAAAAATAAATTGTTTAATTCGAACCAGGTACTTTCCGAGACTAGCAGGTTATTCGAACTGTAATAATAAAAATAGGTAAAAAAACTTTTTAAGTTAAACGGTTGTATGTTAAACATACATTGCAATGTTTAAGATAAATGTACTAAAAACCAAAAAACTATAAAATAGATACAGTCGTGGGAATAATAAACATATGCATAGACTAGACTAAAATAAAACCGTGGGGCACGTCAATTGTCTACAAATTATCGAATTAATATGCGATAGAAGAATCGTTTAATTCGTCGTTAGGCACAGAATACAGATAAAAAAGACCACAATCAAAGATTCTGAATATAATAATCAATATATAGTTAGTACATAGTAGCCTTTTTATTCCACCGTCGAAACCGAATTATTTTAAGTCACAAATACAAAATGATAAACCATGTCACTATATCACATACCTATGTTAATACCTATTAACAATGGAAATTCTTGTAATAAAACAAAGCTTAATTTAGAGATAAATATTTTTATTTAATTATTAATTAGCATTGTATATAATATATTTTGTATAATCGCGTAAGTGAGAAAAAAATAATGAGTTTAAAATAATGACGGCCTTAATACAGTTTGTCTGTAATTAAAACAGTAAGGTAATTAATTAACTGTTAAGTAGTACAGGCAACGACAAAAGATCATTTTCCCTTTGTTGATCGAGTTACCTACCAAGATCGAATAATTGTCCAACATGGTTGACAAAAGTTAGACTTTCTAGAATTAACTAAAATAGGTGACTAAAATAATTTTGTTACTATGCATATTAATGTAATGTTTGTGTTGAAGATATTACATATTACCTAATGTTTATATTATTTCATCTTTATCAATCACTATGACTTTTAATATTAACATCAAAACTTTATAGGAGAAGTTGTAGCTATCTAAAACTGTTTAGTCACAATGTTAATACAGATATTTTGACAAGTAATAATGACAATGCAAGATAATACTAAAATATTTACGTATATTATAATATTCTATGAAATATCGCATAAGAATTGGATCCTGATACCTAAATTTTAACCTACGCTAGAAATTTATTTTTCGGTGAATTGTAAAAAATATCATAATCTTATGTCTAATCCATACTAATAATATAAAGCTGAAAAGTTTGTTTGTTTGAATGCGCTAATTTCACGAACTACTTTAACCAAAACACATTTTTTTTGTGTTGAGCTATAAATCAAACCTGCTGCGACCAAGAGGAGTATAGGAATATTAGAATTGTGGAAAAAAAGGGAGAAATTCCATCTTCGAAAGTTTCCGTTGCTTGGCATAGGCTTAGCATACAACGGGTACGAGTAATTGCGACCCTTGAAATGTAAAAAGCACAATCTTTTCATCCGAAACTGCCAAATGCTCATTGTATAAAAAAAATGATAAGACTATGAGATTATAAGCAGACTGTTTGATTGAAGACGTAATTAGAATAAATATAAGACACAAACCTATTATGACATTACAATTAAACCTGTTTCTAGAATATTAATGTATATATTATAAATCGGCTTTGACGTAAATATTTTTTTCTTGCGGTCGAGTATAGAAGATCGTTTGTTTTTTTTAGATTGATATGAATTGCATAATACTATTCATAATGTAAATCTTGAAAACAATATATAAACTGATACAAGCTTTAAGTTGCATTTGACTTTTAATTACTTTAGTCAATAATTATACTTCCTTTGTTTATACATATAACATTGGATATTTGTATTAAGTCATGATTGTAATTGTTATATTAATATAATAATCTATATTCCAGATTATCTATTAATCTTTATCAATAGACAATAACATCTTACGAAAGTGGCATCAAACGAATATATAAAATTGAATAAAAAAGTTTTATTGAAAAACTACAACTTCTCAGAATATTCTTATGAATCGGCGATGGTTTTGTGACCGTTTTGTATACGATATACATTTTAAAATGCTCTAAAACGCCAATGCGAACTACTTCTTATATAAGTAGTCTAAGATCTAACGAATAAATAAAACATCACAATTGACACAATTCTTAAAGAAATTTTGAAGATTATCGAAAAATGTAAAAATAAGGGATTAGGTATAGGATATCCTTGGTTGGTGCTGCTAAGATTTAAGAAGGTAGTGCCTCCGTAAATATATAATAGCATTCAGTAGTCAGCATAAGGCTGTCCCTCACCTTGAGTGGCTGACCCCTATTGCGTCACCTATCCATATTATTTATGTACATATTAAAGTAGAGGGCGACGTATTTTTTTCCAAGTAGGTATTATGCTTCTGTTGCAATATAAATTATATATTCCTAATGTAAGATAACCACTATAACAATGTCCTAAAACGTAATGGGGGTCATGTCCGTCGACTAGAATTCGATAGGAAATTATACAATTAATTTGAGTAAAATGACAATATTTTCGCATAACAAAACGGTAGGTGAAATACTTTTACAAGTAATATTATTATGTCGTAGAAATAGATTTTCTTAGACACATTTTGCCTCTTGTAAGTCAACAAATTTTAAAGAAATTCGAATAAAAAAAAACAAGTGTAAGGAATAAACGACTCTGACGTAGATATATTAAAAATATTTGCCCACCTTTTATAACCGTCCCCATTCATTTTACATGAATATATCAGAGAGAATCGAGATCAGACAAATACACAGCATATCGCATGATATCGTTGGCCAGGGAATAAGTTACTAGGGGCGCGCGAATATATAATCCCGCGCGAAAATCAATAAATGAATAATGTTTCTTGGCACGGTGGCTTACAGAATTATCTGTAGTCGGATGAAGTCTGTAGTGTACTTGTATGACGATTTTACTCGTTCGTCGTTCTTTAATCTTTACTTCAGTTTTCAATCATTTATCATTACTCATTCGGCGTTCTAAATTCTCAGTTCACCTTAGTAGAGCGCGCAGAAAAGACGTAAATGAGCTAGACGGGCTACGTTGCGGTAACTTTTTTATTTCGTGTTAAGTTAACGTCATCAAGTGACCTTGTGTGCTGACAAGTGCGAAAGATTTTACAAAGACTGCAATATTAAAAAAGATGTCGGACAGCACGCAGGATATTTTAATAAAGGAAGCAGCCGCCGCTGCTGCAATGAGTGGTTCGCTATTTAGCACATTCGACATCATAATGCTTGTCATCCTATTTGGAGCGGCTGTTTGGTGGCTATACAGTTCTAGAAAAGACAACAAGAAAGATGATTTGTTACTAAGTAAATACTCTATTCAGTAAGTACAATAATGTTTTATGATAAATATTTTAATAACTAGCTACTAAGTACCTAAAGGCAATCAATATGCACACTTTCCAGTTTTCCCATTATACACACATTACTCGTATAAGTACCTATACCTACCTATTGCACACAATGTACATACTATTATGTAAATTACATAAGCATTTACACACTACGTAGGTATATCAAGGTAAAATACGGAAGATAATTCCATCATTGATTTTTTTAAAGAATGTAACTATATATTCACAAAAGCAATACATACGATGGCAATATAAAGCCTGTCTATAGTTTACGCGAGTAGTACACATTTAAACCGTACACATTAAAAAAGTGTTTTATTTAAATATAAAACCTTTTAAAGGTACATTACTACTGCTAATAACATGTACGAAAATATAAATCATATATATACCTTCAATGAAACTTATAAAATGAAATAAGTACTTAATTATAATAGGTTGGTAAGTGAGTCCAAAGTTTTGTACTTTGCACTAAACAGGTAGGTATTATATTTTGCAAAGGTCATTCGCCTTATAAGTAAATTTTGGGTTAAAATTTATTTTTCGTTAATATAAATTTCACTACTATCAATTTTCGTGCGTATTATGTATGTAATTGCATTAATTAAATAATATACCGTTTTAAATTAAAGTCGATAAATTTGTTTTTGCTTATAAGAGCAAAGAACTCAAAAACTGACGTCATTCAAATTATTTTATACTAATAAGAATCTTACAAGAATGATATTACAACCCTGAGATGATAGTTGTACATATACATATCTCCAAATTTCATAAAAGCAAAATTAAATTAAATCTGAAATGATTTGTCTGTTCATAATATTGTTATAAAATTACGCATTTAAGTTACTTCCATATAATATTATGTAGGTATGTATCTAATTTTTGTTTTTTATATTCGTTTGTTTTCAACGTAAATTCGTCCTTTCTGCACAGCACTTCCTTTTGATTTTGGTGTATCCCTGGGCTGTTCTTCCAAAACATCAAGGAGCAAAGCTTTTTTATTCATATATAAAAACTAACAAGCAAGTTTCATGAACATTATTTAGTACCTATTACGTGGTCTTTACGTGATAGGTACCTAATATACCTATGATGCTATTTAGCTAGCGACTGTATTATTTATTCAAGTAATTACGATGATAGGACTGTAACATTATCTACATGTAAGTGGTGTTATCAATACCAAAAACAAGTTCGATTCAGTCTCATTATAGCTCGCTGATAAACACTATTATATATTTTGACTTATGTACGACCTTTTCAATGGATTTAATTACACATTATTAATCTTGAATTTTCTAGTTATGTTTGTATTTTACAAACAATGAACAACATTTTCGTAGGGAAAAGTAGAAAGATATTGCTTTAACACAATTCCACTTTAGAACAACGATTAATTATTTTAATCTAGAATTATTAGAACTTTTAAAATATTATCTTCCATTCTTGGGATGAATAAATTTTATTAGTCAAAAATTCGGAAAATCGCACAGAGTAAAAATTGAACTTCGTTGTTTTCTACAACACATACCTATAATAATTTAATTAGGCTAATCTGTTGTGGCTATTTAGCATGTCGACTTAATAATTATGAAAAATCACTACTTTGTTGTTGAATTTCTTGTATTATGATCAGGAACGATTTCGATAATAGGCTAATCGGTAAGTATAGGTATTTAAGTACATGCAACACTGGTTTTTCGTGTACTTTTTCCTATAATGAAACCACTGTCGAATGTTGTGACCTTGTGAGACCCATCCGCCTAATAAACTGGTTCCATGGGTCCTCATCAGATCTGTGTTGTCAAATTACATATTAATTCCTAAAAGAATAGATTAGTCACAGTTCTAAGTCCGATTGAAGGTTTAGGTTAAGCAGGTAACGTCATATAATAAAAGTATAATATTTTTGCCATTAAGTAATTGTTAATTACTTCCCGATAATTCAATACGATAAATTATTTATTGTGATAAAATTAATTTAAATTTACTGAAGTATTTGCCTTGTAATTTAGTTATTATTATCATCCTCATTATTGGACTTCCTTGTTTGAAGACACTTTTTTTTTAATTATGACTTTTTGCGGGATATTGTTCAGCACATAAGGAATCCTGTTCTACAATAAAAATTTTAAGTGAATACTCAAATGGAATAAAACATTAACCTTTAACTTGATAAGAGTTAATGTTTCGTCTGTTATAATTAATAAAAAAAAAACTATTACACTTGTTAACTTATCGAGTAATCATCTGGTAAATATTTACCTTGGATTAGGTATGTTACTTATCCAATATTTTTATATAAATTACTGTAATTTTTAAAAACGTAATCAAGGTTCTTATGTCCGTAAATATGTTTAAAGGTCTATTTAATTCATAGGCGTAATATGATAATCTTATCTGTTTTACGCAATAATTGTTACATGAAATATAGCTTTATTTATAAAAAGTACTTTAGTTATAGATATCTGTAATTCTAAAAATATGATTATTCATAATGTTTTTTGTAGCATTATCTAGTCATAGATACATGATTTCCATAGTTGTGATTCGAGCCACGTTTGGCAAATGCGTTATGGTAGATAACACCAATTATCCTTGTTCTTTTTGTCGTTCTCCTTCATCGAAGAGCACGTAATCACATTGTAAGCAATCATTATGTCAAACGACCGTCACCGATAATCGTATCCCTGACTCCACAAACGTAGGACTAAATAGTGCCATCGACCAAAGTATTGTCTGTAATTTTCGGGGGTTTACACATTTATATAAAATACTTTTAACAGCTTAAAACGCGTAATATAGTATCTAACTTATTTACAATCTATTTTTTTTATTCGTATGCTTTGCAGCAGCCGTGGTCACTGGGTACCTTGGTGGCCGTGGTACTGGGCATAACTAACAAACTCAACGAATACTCCTAAGAAACATTACAAGACCTTATCTTTATTTTAATGACTTTTATAAGCTATTATTGATAATTTACATAATAATTAGTAATAACATAAATGTGCATTGAACTCAAGCTAAGAGTAGTTATCATTTGAATCATTACTATTTTCGCGTGTCATCGCAGTCTAGCTTTAGATAAAAAATGTATTATCGAACACCGCGAACCCACGTCAACTAGCAACAGTCTAGAACTCCTTGGCCGGGTCTCTTCGCATCTCTTCCTCGTTAGAGTTTTTCAATATAAAATACATTTTAAATTTATACTAATTAACTTCTTTTAACGTGAATGACAAAATAAATTAGCATCAATCTTCGCAGATGTACTATTGAATCGGCGGTTAGGTATGGTTAATTTGGATTACTGTACAAGGTCACATCAAGTTTGGTGAGTTTCTTAGCTGTCGTGGAATCGATGGAAGATTATACATACTCGGCGTTGCTGTATTAAAAAGATTATCGACGTTTTTATTTTAGACATTCAATTTCAACTATCCATAAATTATTGGTGTATCAATATCAGTCTAAATGTATTTTTATTAATCAATTAGTAATAAAACTAGCTGTTTACTTAATGTTAACACAGATACTAACTACAGTGAAGGATATTCCATTAGAACACAGATACTTCTGTTAACTCTAGATGCGTAGTACTTGAAAATTAGGCTCAATTGTATTTTATTAAACTTCTTACGGTCGTTTACATACTGTCATTGAATTAACTTACATCGTCATTCGTGACAAGTGACAACGCAAGGTGATACCTTGATACTGATACAAAAATAATTGAATTATTATTATATTTTCCTCAACTTACTAATTACTGGTAGATTCTTTCTGTTCTGCTATACAATTGACAAGTAATTAGATGGAAAACATCTATCGGAAACGTGTTTGGCCGTTGTGTTGAGAACCATCAATCATTATAACTTAGTACGATAAAACGGGAAGATAGCTAATAATATTCAGGCGAAGCCCTACGGTCAAGAATGAATTATTCATTATATTTTAATACATACGAATTGTATTCTTCAGACCATTTTATTCACAGATAACCGTTATCTATTTAAGTGCAACTGTATAATTTATATGAATATCGTAGGTAACACGAGATCTCTGAAGGTGTAAAAGATAATTGGATAGTTTTAACAGCTTTAAACACCTTGGTTTGCGATACCGCAAAGTAAGTATAAGTCACAAGTAATAACCAATTAATCGTGCAGTTCGCTTACTAGTTGATAGCGAGATAATATTTTAAATTCATACCTAAAAGTTTTCTGTTCTGTCCATATATATATGTATATATATATATTTGAAATTGATAAAACCGATTCGGCCAATAATCAAATAAGATACTAGGGCTAAGTTTTTGTGGAATTCAGAATTAAGTTTTTTGAATGTTATTTATATTGTTTTCGACAATTAAGATTTCTTATGCTAAAAGCTACCGTAACGCGATAAAGTTCAAATTAGGTGTAATTATGTATTAAGTGTATAAATTGGGAGAAATTCCAACGCATGTACGTTTTAATTACGAATCGAAATACAATTCAGATAATTATCAAAAAAACATACAATAATAGGAGATACACAGATGTAATAGGACAAATATATATATTTCTAAAGAACTATACAGTCTACTTACACTCAACTCCGTTTTAACATATAGTTATTAACCTCATTCAGAACTAGAGCTGATTGTATAAATATTTACTTATATATATCACGCACAAATTAATTCTTTACAGACCGGCCGCCACAATAGAAGTGACAGAAAACTCATTTATCACCAAATTGCAGTCATCTGGTCGAAGTCTAGTTGTATTTTATGGGTCACAAACCGGCACTGGGGAGGAGTTCGCGGGGCGACTGGCCAAAGAAGGTGTTCGTTACAAGATGAAAGGCATGGTTGCTGATCCCGAAGAGTGTGATATGGTGAGCTATTATAATCTTTTCCTTTTTTAAAGTCTAAAAAGAAGATCAGAATTATAAATAGGTGGGTCTCCGGTAAGCGACAACGCAGGAACCCTCCTGCGTTGTCCCTTACTGAACTGACTCGCCTAATCTAGCGACAATTTATTTCGCGAGGCTGCTCGTTCAGTGAAGTTCCTATCATTTATTAAACTGACCTTCTTATTATGATTTTTCGGCGTCGCTACTCCCGATCTTTTGACCTTCATTTTTATTTCCGTACTTGATTGCTTTAAATTGCACATCAAAATTGTATTACAACCAGCATTAATTTTAGGAAGAACTCACGAAGTTAAAAGATATTTCGAACTCCCTCGCCGTGTTTTGCGTAGCAACGTATGGTGAAGGAGATCCGACTGATAACGCTATGGAATTCTACGAATGGTTGAAAAATGGAGAACCAGATCTAACTGGATTAAACTATGCAGTAAGTTAAATAAACGACTACAACTCTGCAATAAAATAAAATAATAATAATAATACAAGCCCGGTTTCCGCCGAAACGCGAAGGCCATCAAAATATTTTCATCGGAGTATATTTTGCCCTGTATCCTTATTCTCGGCAAGGCATTGATTTCGTTTAGTAATATTATGTCTATGACTATAATTTGCCTTCACTTAATTTATATATATATATATAGAAATGAAACCATTGCATAGGTTTGGGTTAAAATACAGATTGCAATGTTAGAGTTTTAAAACTGAATTACGTTTTTATATTATGCTGACAGGTTAAATAAAAAAACATCATGACGTGTTAGTGGTTTTTAATTGCCTTTAACGGAAAATTGCTGCAAACAATTCAGTTCTGTGATCGCTTCTTGGCAGAAATATATATAACTAATATTATCTTAGTAATTTTGTGGTAAAAGAAAAACTACTAGAAATTGTTTTAGTTAAAAACTTATGCCCGTTTTGTATAAAACAGTTGCTTATAAAAGTAGTCATCATGATGATCATTTAGCCTTGATTATCCCATAACATAGATTACAAAAATATATGGTTCCTGTGTTTGTGAAATCCTGTTTCCCCTCTCGTGGGACATGGGGCGAACACATTTTTTTGGGTCCGTTTCTTATCCGCTCTTTAACAGGCAAGTAGTTGATCAGACTATTCATAGTCAAAAAATATTATGACTATTATAAAAAAAATATAACACTATATTAGTACGATTGATCTTATGGTGTGGTCAAGTCGTATGCTTTTTTATATAATAACCTGTATTTCTAATAAAATCTTAAATAAAATATAATCGTGATAATTACTAATTCAAGAAAGATATATATATATGACTTATCAATAATAGATAAAATATTACTATTGCATAATAGTACGCATATATAAAGTTGTGTATCGTTATTAAATATTTATTTATTGCCTACGAGCCACCCATGACGCGTGTTAGATATTTTGCGTCAATAATTTTCAAATACCTACCTAGAGCAATATTAGTTTAATGTTTTTTAATTAAGTTCACGTTAAACGTGTTGTGTTGTGATCACGTACGCTCGATCCCTGAATATACGATTTACATAATTATTCGACATAATATAACCTCAGTTGTAAAACAAGTTTTGCCGATAGTTCTCATTTTATCACATGTGTTTAATATTGGAAATTTGTAGACCTACATTTATAAATGATAGAACCAAATCTGCTGCCTTCTGATATTTACAACATGCCTTTAAATTGACTAACTGTCATATCGTTTTCCATTTATATAGCGACTTATTGACGCTTCTCTCTCGTTGTCCGTGAATTACTAGAATCAGGGACCATAAATACGAATAACTGAGTATGTAGTAAAGACACGTATATCGGGTAGTACCTGTATCAATATAATATTATTTCTTTACTCTGTAGCCAGCTTTTTGAAGTGGAAGATTTTGATGTGAGTAGTGTCGAATTTATTGCAAGTTTTACTTACTGACTAACAGTATTAACATGGGATCTTTTGCCAATGGATGTTAAATTATAGGCATTAATTAGGTATAAAAAGGATCTTAGTATTCAAATCGTGTTCCCCTTTCATTTATAAAAATCTATTATCCGTATATGTAATGAGGATGTGAAATATGTGAGTACCTACCGTATCTTGGTGTGTTATCGCATCTCAAAATTACAAAGTCTATATTACCGTGGATAATTAAATTACCTAATTATAGTTTAATATTCACAACTAATTACCCATTCTACAAAAATAGAATATATTTACAGTATCCTATATTCCGTTGTATCGTTCAGCGGTCACACTTACGTGGAACTAAACTTGAATCATTCACTCATTTGTTCTGTCATAGAAACTTCAGTTGTCACTTTCGTTCGTTCTGTCAACTGTCATATTTACAGTAATTGTTCGAATGTTTTTATGAGGTTTTTTTGAAGAAATACTGATATCGTATTTGAAATTAGTTTTAACTTTTTTCGTTTATTGAATTTGTCTATAGATTAAATTATAACTTATAATTATTGTTTTGTTAAACAAGTGTTTGAGGCTATTATGTAATGATTCTCAGTCATACATACACGTGTTAATGTTAAATTAATAGGTAATCTAAGTTTTTCAATAATAATAAGCAACTTATTTATGACTATGCTGGCATCTTGCATAAACCCTTACAGGTACACTAAAGTTCCACGATATATTATAACGAAATGTATAAACAGAAAACGTTTTCTACCGAAATTTAAGAACATGGTACGAAGTCCATTAATTGGTTTAATGGAAAAGAAAGTCAGTTTGGTCTGTATCTGAAATTACGTTTTCTAAATTTCTTTGTCATTTTAGGTCTTCGGTCTCGGTAATAAAACATATGAGCACTATAACGCTGTGGCAATATATATTGACAAGCGTCTGGAAGAGCTTGGTGCTGCAAGAGTTTATGAACTAGGATTAGGTGATGATGATGCCAAGTAAGTTTTAATGTCTTATATAATACATACTAATTGTATTCAAGTTCTGGAAAATTATCTCTTATTGGTTACAAAGGAGAATAATTTTAAATTTAGAAGTCGTTCACCTTTTGCAGAACCTGTTCAAAAGAGTTTTTATTTAGCATTTGATTAGATATGCAATTTATTTCTTTTGTGAAATATAATTTTAGCATTGAAGATGACTTTATTACATGGAAGGAAAAGTTTTGGCCTGCAGTTTGCGAGAAGTTTAATATTGAGAGTACAGGTGAAGAAGAGCTGACAAGACAGTTTCGCCTGGTTTCACATGCACCAGGTGATGTGGCATCTAATGAAGTCTTCAAAGGAGAAATCTCCAGACTACATTCATTGGAAGTACAGAGGCCGTAAGTTCATAGTATATATACTTTTACTTTTTAATGAATTAGTGATGTCATTTATTTTTGATAAATTTTATGATACATTGAAACAACAAAAGAAGGAATACAATACATAATTACAAAAATGTTGTGCTTCAAAAGTCAAATGCCCTTCACCTCAAGTGTGGGACAATGTAAGGTACAAATGCATCTGATTTATATATCTTTTTGAAGGCCATCTTAATAGGAAGGTATAAAAAAAATACATTGAAGCTAGTTAATTTTTTATGTATCATAACAATATCACTGTGGTAAGAACATTACAACCTTTTTACTAATACAATATCATTTTTTTAGGCCATTTGATGCTAAGAATCCATTCTTGGCTCAGATCAAGATTAACAGGGAATTACATCAAGGTGGTGACAGATCATGTTTGCATGTAGAATTAGACATTTCCGAGTCAAAGATGAGATATGAAGCTGGTGAGTGTTCAAATGAACCTTAAGAGTTAACTAATTATATATGACAAGTAAAATTTTAACTTTATATGAAGAGTCAATATAAATGAAGAGGTTAAGCTATGCAATAATTTGCAGGTGACCATGTGGCAGTATATCCCACAAATGATGTGAACTTAGTGAACCGTTTAGGAGAACTAACTGGTGCAAACTTGGACGAAGTCTTCTCCCTCATTAACACTGATCAAGAAAGCACCAAGAAGCATCCATTCCCTTGTCCCACATCATACCGTACTGCATTATCTCACTACCTAGAAATTACAGCCCTACCTCGTACACACATTCTTCGAGAACTTGTAGAATACTGTACAGATGAAGAGGTATGATATTATCTGTAAATTATGCAATAATAATAAATAGACTAATATATTTTGTGTTTTAAACAGTTAAAACAGTAGTATTTAATGAGTTGTGGATATTTTAGCTGTAAATTTTTGTAGTTAGATATGTTAATGGATTCTTCAATTACAGGACAAACAGAAACTACTCCTCATGGCCACAAATTCTCAAGAGGGCAAAGCACTCTATCAAACCTTTATAGTTGACGCCTGTAGGCATATTGTTCATATTTTGGAGGACATAAAATCGTGTAAACCGCCACTTGATCACCTTTGCGAATTATTACCCCGTTTGCAACCAAGATATTATTCAATTTCCTCAAGTCCTAAAGTAAGTATTTAGAAGCTGTGCCATATCACCTAATTGTCAAGTATTCAGCCATATTAAGTCAGTGATATTAAACATTTAGTTTTTTAGTTGAGCCATTTGAGTAAAAGTACAAATTGCTATTATAGCTCTACCCGGAAACTGTGCATATAACAGCAGTAGTTGTGAAATATAAGACACCGACGGGACGATTGAACAAGGGTGTGGCGACCACTTGGCTGGCAGACCACAAGCCAGAGCCTGGACAGCCCCTACCGCGCGTTCCTGTATACATCAGAAAGTCACAATTTAGGTAAGATTTTACTTAAATAAAACGCTTTAACGGTTTAAAACGTGATATAAATTAGTTAAACTTATTTGAAAATCATTTTAACTCTCCCCATAACTAAGGCTGTTGCAAAGATCGAATCGGGCCGTAGTTAAAATAATTTTCAAATAAGTTTAACTAATTTATATCACTAAACCGTTAAAGCGTTTTATTTCAATGTGTTTTACTCGCATAAACTTACCATATTGTATATCATTCTGTACTGCTATAAATGTTTCAGAGGTTTGTCGAGCCTACTTGAATAATGTTATTTCATGAAATGTGTTTAATTATGATGATTATGTCTGTTTTAAAGACGTATTTCGATTCAATAAGAAAAATATAGTAATAATTAGAGTACCAAGTCCTTTGTAACTTGGAATTTAGACCTATCCTATATAATTACAGTAGTGTATTACGCAATTATATACATTAAATTATATGACGTGTGAAATAAAATCGTAGTTTCTTGAAAGATTCCTCTGTAACCGAGATAATTACTTATTTTAATACGTATTTAGCGGTCACGCTACAACGACGTGAATCTTATTTTACGTCGTTCGATGAGAATGTTATTTTAGTTACGACAAAACTTTTAAGTGAAACTGTTGATTTTCTCGAATATACCGAGTTACGATTACAGGTGTGCAATTAAGGTTTTCATTATACAGATAACAGGATGATTCACGTCTCAAGGTGCTTCTTGTATCTTATCGTGGCGTGAGATATAGAACGGCATTCTTTAAATTTGGTACCTACCCCTTTGTTACGAAATATTCCTTACTAATGTTATAAATGCGAAAGTAAGTCTGTCTGTATGTTCACGCAAAAACTCCTGAACATTTGTATGGAAATTCGTGATTTTTGAAGCTAGAACAATTAAACTTTCTTCTTTGGATATTTGGGAATAGGAGTGGGAGTGAAAGGAAAGTGGGAGTTAGAGTAGGAGTGATGTGAGAGAGTGTTGCGGCTAAGTAGCACTTACAACATAGATTGGCTGCGATAAATGCGCAATTACATAAATTAATTAACAGCGTAAATAATTAAAAATTCTACCCCAAGTCACTCTATTCCACGCGAACGAAAGCGCGCGCACAGCTAGTTATAGATAGAATAAAAAACTTGTTCACATTTGAGATTAAATATACCCTGGACGAACGCTGAACTTATTAACACTATTTTCTTGTTTCTATAAAGCTAAATCTTTATTTAAAACATGAATGAAAAACGCTAATTTAGTCGACCTTCGTTTGGCCTTTAATTTGCCGCATTTATATCCGCATTTTTTTATACCGCTTTTTCTCCTATATACATATGCCTCGTGATAAATGGGAAATATATACGAAATCAAAATCTAATCTAAGATTGAAAAAAAAAAAAGGGGCCCCCCCCCCCCCCCCCCCCCAAAAAAAACCCAAAAACCCGGAAAAAAAAAAAAAAAAAAAAAATTTAAAAAAAATTGGATTATTGACGACACGTATGGGACTCGAATCAACGACAATAGCGAACCACGCTTCTACTCGACTAATTCATTCTGTCAATAACATTTGAAAGGAACACGTGAACTAATAACAAATATTTCTAAACTATATACACTGTAAATTATAAATATGCTATCATATGCATGCACATGTAGTGGGAATTTTAGTACGAAGAAATAGGTATTATCCTTGTTGTATGAATGGCTATCAATGACGTTATTTCCTGGATTTTGTCCATTTGAAAACTTGCAAAGGACGATTTAAACATTGTCTGGACAACATGGGCTCGTTTTACATAAGGATAAAAGTACTGAAGTATATCAATGTTCTGTCAATTGCGTCATAATATATTTTAATGGCTCTTTTGTAGACGTAATGTCGTCTATTGTTTAAAACAGCTAAAGAAAATTGTTGTCGTTTTATTCTTTGTTTTTTATACTTTAAAATTTACTTGGGCGTCTTGAAAAAATAAATTTAACCGTTCATCATATTATGGATAAAGGTTGCATAAATAAATATACGTAATCTTATCTCTGTCTATCCACCAGGTTACCACTTCAAACTCAGACTCCAGTATTGATGGTGGGTCCCGGTACTGGTTTAGCTCCATTCCGAGGTTTCCTTCAGGAGCGTGCTGTCGCACGTCAGAACGGAAAGGAGGTTGGAGACACCATTCTTTACTTCGGTTGTCGGCATCGTGACCAAGACTACATCTACCGAGAGGTAATTAATGTTTTACTTTACTAACTACTACTAACTAATTTTTGATGGTAAAATATGACATACTTAGATGCTTAAGAATGTTCAAATACCTATGTATAATTAGATAATTAAGAAGGCCATTACGTGTGGACAATCTGAAATCTAGAAATTAAAATGTACGATGGTTTCACAGACAGATTTTCAATGTCCGCGGTAGATTTTCTATTGGTGTGTACAAATAACAAGAAATCCGATTTAAATCATGCTGGAATCGAACTCACGGCCCATTGGCAACGAGCTATATCTACTACTACCTACCAGTCCGTAGGATTGACGTATACACCTAAAATTGACATTAAAAATTCAATGTAAAGAATATAATCCCAAATAAAATCTATATATGTTTCGCGAAACTTGATTTCAGTTTTTAATTTATCCATTTAAATATCTGAATCGAACTACGCCCATTGGCAACAAGCTATATCTACTACTACCTAATCCGTAGGATTGACGTATACACCTAATTGACATTCAAAATTCAATGTAAAGAATATTATAGTTGCGCCCACAATAAATATTCTATCACCTGATGTGTTCGCGAAACTTGATATTCACGTTTTTAATTTGCATGATATTAACCTGGAACCGTATTGAAATTACACATTTTAATCAAGCCTTATCATTACAGGAATTGGAGGAGTACGAAAAAAATGGAGACGTGACACTCCACGTCGCGTTTTCCAGAGATCAAGCGCAGAAAGTATATGTCACTCACCTTTTGGAGAAGAACTTAGATCAAATATGGGATATTCTTGGCAAGAGAAATGGACATTTCTACATTTGCGGGTAAGTTCTTAATGCAAACCTTTGTCTCAATGTTACTTGGTATTAAAAATCACTTATTTCTCACACGACGCATGAAGATTAAATTTTTTACAATTTCGATAATAATAATTCATTTCCTATCGCATGCCTCGAAAAAGTGACGCAAATTTTGTCAAATCATGTCGATTACGCGTCTACACAATGGACACTCAAATTGCATGCGATTATTTAGTGATGGAATTGTTTAAAGCTTCTTTGTATTTTCCTTATTAAGGAAATCTTAAATATGTCCACGCTATTTGCAGAGACGCTAAGAATATGGCAGTGGACGTGCGTAATATTGTAATCAGGGCCGTCGTAGAAAAGGGAGGTCGCACCGAAGCTGAGGCCGCACAATTCCTCAAGAAACTTGAATCTATGAAGAAATATTCCGCCGACGTATGGAGTTAGAACGAGGAAAACCGCTGATAATATACTTAGCTAAATTGTTTATTACAAAGTGAATGTTCAAGTGCTGTAGATAATAATGAAATATTGATTGTGTCGATAGAAAGCGAGCTCTATAAGTACGGTGGGGTCGATGGAAGGATTTGCATTAATTTATATGATTAATCTAAGAAATTTAGTACACTTAATTTATTAAGAATAACATTTTGTACGGCGCATTTTTATATTACCAGGGTACATGTATATTATAACATAAATGGTTGATATTACTGTGTTTCTTGCTCCTTAAAATGCTGTGATACTACGTGCAGTTCTTGGAAGACGATAATATCACAAGTATTTATTTCCATAGCGAAAAGTTAAAATTAATGGTACTACTTACGCTACATGTCTAGGCAAGAATTTAAGAAAAATTGTGCAGTGTTCTAACATTGTGTTTAATGTGAGAACCGCCTAAAGCACTGAAAACTGACAGTAATTTTACAATCAAATTGTGATAATTCCGTAATTACTTCCCGTTGCTAAAATACCTCCGGGGCCAAGGTTTTCAAATAATTTTTAATCTAAGTAGGAACTTGCCATCAACATTGTGCTTTTTGATTCAAGGACTTGAAATCTACGTTGTTTACTAAACTGTTATTATCTAATTATGATTTGAATGTTTATTTTATTTTTTGTATTTAACAAACAACTTACCATACATTTATTTATTATTATAGGATGCTGTTCAAAGAATGGCTGACATAAGTCAATACGTAGAGGTTAAATAATATAAAAATCTATTTTTATAAACGCAGAAAAGGATCCACTGTTATATAAACTAGGAGTCAATATTGTGTTAGTGTTGAAATTGAACTGTTTGTTATTGTTGTGAGTTGAGTTGTTAGTATATTCTTTTATAAGTGGACTGGGAAATAATATTTAAGTAAGAAAATGTGGTTATATTATAATTTTCTATCACGATAATGTTAAAGCATTAAACAATTAATTTCCACAAGTTGTTTTATTGTAATTTATCTCATTCCATGCTTTTAATTCTGCCTCAAGATTTTTAATTGGTTTTAGTCATACTAGTCTTATCAAATCTCTTTGTTTGTTTGTAATACAATGTAGGTTTTACAAAACTTTGTAATACCTAAAGTTTTACAAGGACCAAGCGCTTTAGTTGGCTGAAAGGAAATAACATTTAAACAACAAAGCCATTTTTGAAACGATAATTTATTGATTTAACCGCAAATATATTAGATTATATACAAAAAGGACGTCAACAAAATGCAAACAAATAGCCAGCTATATAGATTAACCGACTCCCAATCCGAGCTCCGTCGTATTGCTCGAATCGAAGGTCAATATTCAGTTGCATAATTGTACCTTACTATGTTTAGCCAACATAAAACTACGGGCGTTACCTAAATAGCGATAGGTATACAATCGCATCATGAAAATAAATCACTAATCAAACACCTATATCCAAACACATCAAATACTGAATTATGTTAAGAACACAAATTTAAATTGCTTTCGATAAACAGTAACTACTTAATTTTGCTAGTATTTACACTTTAAACCTACGTCAGGACATCAACATGCTCATTATAAACTCTACATTTATCATCACCAATTCCTCAAACATCGCAGTTTTTACCGTATTATTTGAGAAGAGTAGAACTGAGAAGTTATAGTGAGAAAGCAGTTTAAGATGCTAATCAGTAAGATAGGTTTGTCGGCGTCAGTTACATAACAGGAGACCGCCGAACACAAGAATTCATCACACAAAGCAACCATACAACGTTATATTGTACTCTTATTTTACATGTTTGTATTCTACAATTTACACAATTTACATAAGCATACGTGAAAAAATATATTCTATCTCATGACCAATTTAACACACACACACAGCAACTGAACTGAATATAACTTGCATGGTTTACTCATAATGGGTGTATACAAAACGTTTGTTCTAATCTTATCGGAAATAAAATTACACTGAAAGGCACGATTCAAGGCAACGATCGCCAATGCATGACAATGGGCAGTTTTCGGTGTTTGCATTTTAGCTTTTGTATTGACGCTGTGGGTACGTAAAATGCTGAAGGCAGTGCTATCACATATTATAATGAGCATCCTGACCAACTAGTTAAATACGATCCGATAACTTATTAAACGAACGCCAAATAATTACTTAACACTACGCGACAATTTGTCAGCTCAGTTAAAATGATCTTCACCCTAAAGCATCTTGCATATAATATGGTGCGAGTTCGGGTGAAGTTCCTAGTTTGTAATCGCAATCTTGTATTATAGTCGTAAGGATATCATCATCCTTGGGAAATTACAAATATCGAAACGAGTCAAACAAACTAATTTCCTACTTAAAAAGTTTCTTAGTTCCGAGTGGAAATCACTCGACGCTAATTTTACAACTAATAGCGAAATATTCAACCATTAATCAAAACGTTACGGTAACACAATACGCAATTTTCTCATGAAACGCAATGATTTTGAGCAAGTGTTTGATTAATGTAAGACTACTCCGCTTTGGATAGCCAGCACAGCGAGGAACGTGTAAGGGAGAACGCAACTAGTAATATAAGATGGCACTCTCTGCGTTGTCGAACTAGACAGGATGTAATAGGCACGAAGTACAATAAAAGATGTAGCATATACAACGACAAGTTGATACCGTGGACCCGGGTAAAAAAGGACGTAAATACGATTTGTATATAAACAGGACACCCATGGTGCTCACTACGTCTTTTATCATAGCTATCGTCAACGCTAGAAAGGCAAGACCTAATATTACAAGTGCGGTTTAGGTGGACGCAGTTCAGGAGTCAGCCGGAACCTCCCATTCCGCTAAACCGCGCTCCACTAATTCTCTATTCAGGTATATCACTTGCTGAAATTTTAAAATGCACAATTAATTAATGCAAAACGAAGTAAATTGATCGATAAACAAGCAATAATACAAACAAATATATATTAAACAAGACTTCCCATACTTAGTTCTCCATCCCACTTATTATGATTGTAAAAACTACCAATATTAATATGATTTTATTCATTAAGACATCAAGTTATATTTTAATTTGGATTAAAGTCACGTTTTTTGCATAAAGATCTGCATCTAGTTGTATGACCACGTACGTGCATGTCTTGTCATTTATTCTTACACGTACACTTCGTCTATTCTTTAACTTTATGACGGATAACATCAAAACGGTTTAATTAAATATATTATTGCTGGTTAACATTAAAAGCTTTGTTATATCAAATGACGATTTTTATTTTCCTTAAAATGGTTGATAGACATGTAAAACAGAATGAGTTCTCATATATATTTTACTGACCTAACACCTAAAATATTATTATTATTATTATAAACTAAAACCGTTAGTGTAAATTTAGACAAGTAAATTACCTGTGGGTTAAGAGTAAGGTAGAGATGCACTAGAGGTAGACCGGTCTCATCGTAGCCGGCTACTTGCGCGTGCAACATTTGTCCAGCGGTCAGTCCAGCCATGATACGGAGCGCCTCGCTACTCCAGTCGGGTTCTGTAAGATTAGTAGTACTTACTACGACTACCATCTCAAACAAGTAAAGGTAAAGAACGAGACAAGTTAAGAATATTTCGTGTGTGATAAGGTAACGTAAGTAATGAGGTTTTTGTGGCTCTGAGGACCAATATTGACGGGCTCGTTTGGAGTAATGGTAGCAACGTATGGCTAACGATCGTGGGTTCGATCCCTACTCAGTCTAACACTTTTTTAGTCATTTTAATTCATTTATTTCTGAAACATGTTGAACTTCTTCTAAATCTAGATATTTTTAGTGGAATTACGAAATTCCGTTCGGGTACTATAGATTTCCGAATATCCAAAGCCAAAGTAATGTAGTATAGATAACATACTAACCATTATTAGCTGGCTTGACGAAAGCTAGCAGAGCCTCTGTAGCCTGGAAAGGCACCGTCATGAAGTCAGAGCGGATCTGTTTCAATTGATCGTTGTCGACGGTGAGGTAACCGCCGTAGTCCACCAGCTTTACTACTGAGGTTTCAGTCTCCTCAGATGTCGAGAGTACTTGGGCGCGATACCAGTTGTTTTCAGTCGGGGCCGCGCAAATGGAACCCTCTGTGACACAATTCAATACATTCATATGATCAAATGTGAACACCATAGTGTTAACTCATAAGGGATTTCAATTTTCAAGAATCATAAAGTAATGATATGTGAGGCTTAGATCTCTAAAAGGATTTTGCAGGTTTGATTTGATTTACAAGTAATTTTTAGCAGAGAACCTTATAAAAATGAAACTTCTGCTAGAGGCACAGATTGTGATACTTTGCAATGAAGGTTTTTTTATTTAATTTCTTTACAGAGATTTCCAAGTGCTGAGATACAAAAAATAGCTAGACAACCTATATAAAATTCCATAAATAGGCATATTCTACCAATAAAGTGGATACCATGTTAGTTTACTTACAAAAAGAATAAATCAGATTACATTTTTTTATAATTCACGTCTTTTACATATATTTAATTTTATTGGTATTAAATAATTAAGTTCTGAGTCATGCCAGGTATAAAATTACTATCATAGTTTTGTTAGTTGTTATAAAAAGGTTTTTATTTAATGGCCAACCCCATTAAACATTGTCTTTTTGAAATAACCAACCGTAAGACAGATTGCCAAAAAGATTTAATTTAATTATTTCAATGAACTTTACTATTTACAAGACTTTCTCAGAAACTGTGCGTGACCTCGATCTCAATAAAACTCGAATAAAACAAATCGACTAAGATAGTAAATTTAATAGGTCAATGTCAAAATAAACAGAAATTTATACATTCAGTCTAAATAAATAAGGAAGAGGGACGAAATGAGTTGAAAAAATAAATTAAATATATAATATATAACAATGTTAAATTCAGTCAAGTACATTAAAGATTGATACAGTATGTCAAATCGAGGTTGGAATGATTGCGCGAGAGTTTTCTTCAAGCCAGTTAAGCGAGTGTAAAATGTAAAGGCCATTTTGTCGCACGTACCTTTCACCGGTTGCGGCAATGACGGTACGTCCGGGTTTTGATACGTGTCGACCATAAGACGGTGGAGCACATGCAACGAAGGGAAGGTCGGGTGTAGGGGCTGCTGCAGGAAGAAGTGGCCTGCGCTCACCAGACACGTCAGTATCGTGTCGTTGTTCACCGATTCCACTAGCTGTAACTGTTATGTTACATACATAATGCAAACATACAGCATATTTATTTTAAGAAAAGAATAATTAATAATATTGGCCCTGATAAATCCTTGCTCTTTAAGTTTTATATTCTCATTGACAAAAGAAACTAGTTAAGAGCACATGATGATCTTGAGATTATAAATGTATTTTTAATATTCAATAAATAACTAATAGGATCGGCTATTAAGAATATTTGAAATATTTACACAAAGAACTATATGTATGTACTCACTTGAAGATATTCTGGTACTAAAGGTGCCAGCCTTTGATATAATTCTGCACTGATTTCTTGTGTGGTAAAGTTGGGAAACCTTTTTTCAGGGAATTTGTCCTTAATCATTTCTAAAGCTGCCTCTATTTCACTTTGAGTACCTAAAATAAAAAATAAAGTTTAAGAATGTTTTATTATTATTTATAAGATACTATCATATAAGAACAATTAATGAATGTTACCTTCTATTGCACAAATTTTTTGTTTTGACAATTCTGGATGTCTTCTTACATAGACTGTTGCACCGGTTTTGGCTTTGATGCATGTCACAAAAGAACCAGATTTCCCAATAAGAAGACCAACCAAAGTCTGTGGTATTAAAAACTGATGTATTCTTAAGCCAGCCTCAGAGGGTAGAATGTTCATATTAGTAGGCGGAGGGCTTGCTGCTTCTGAACAGCCTTTTCCACTGTCACTAGAGCCCTACGAATATAATAAATAAATATAATTACACTTATCAATGCAAAAAATTAAGATGATGAAAATGATGATGATGTATACAAAGACTTACCTCACTGTGATTGTCTGAAAAGTGACACATTGATGGACTAGCTAGCATTGGATCAACTGGGCTATGGTTGGCTGAGTCTCTTTCTGAAATTCGCCTATTTTCTGAATTTGAATAATTACTTTGACCTTCCGTTGGTTCATCTATATTTCTAGATTCTTCAACTTCAATTTTGTTAATGGGTAGCTCTTCAGGTTCATTTTCTGTGGTACTCTCAGTAAAATTGCTAAATGATGGAGCTGCTTCAACTTTAGAACTATCTACCTGTGACTCTGTGAGTGAAACACTATCATCAGCAACATTCTCCATTGGGACCAAGTTACAGGAGTCTTCATTAATTTTTGTAGAACACAAGTTCTCCCTGCTGTCACAAGTCATTTCTGTTCTGAAAGATGAGTACAAATCACACTCTGTTTCCTTTATAACACAAGGAGTCTCCTTCGCCTTAACATACTCCATGCAGCTTTCTCTGCCTAAGGACATTTTTTTTTCTTTATCAACTGACTTTTTCCTTATAATTCTTTCAATCTCCAAATCAATCTCCTCATCTGTCAATTCTATTGGTGATGACCGTTGTGAGCCAGAACCATTAGGAATAATATCAATAGGGGCAGACTTTATAACAGAACGGTCAGCTTTGCCCAGGGGAGATAATCTCCTTATTTCAGCTTCAGCATTTAAAGCTTCTGCTAGTTCTTCTTGAAGACTTTTAATTCTTTCTCTTCCACCTGGGTCAGATTTCGCATATTCTCTCTTTTTCTTGAACCAAAAGATTCCTAACAGGACAGCTATTGAAGGTACTGACCACATAAGCAACTGACGACAAGGTGCCATTGTAAAGAGCCACTTTTACCAAACAACTATAACAAAAGAACCCTTAATAAAACACATGAGACTAAATGCTCAACATGCTCTATATCTTAAAAAGCATAACCCAAAATCTTTTCAAAGGCCTAAAGCAATAGGAACGCAGACAAAGACTAACTGATAAAGAATGATAAAATAATAATTAAGAAAGTAAAATAAAACATATTATAGACTAAGCAAGATTAACTTTATCAATCAAAGAACTTTCTCTGAAATTAGGGCAGATAAGAAAATTCCAACCAGAAAATGGAATATTTGTTAAAATGTTTGAAAAATAAATTAAAATTTGATTAAATTCTCATGGAGGTAACCAAAATATAGGTTCAATATTAATAGTGACAACTACTGATAACAGATAAGGTGAACTATTATTATTAACTAGATATAACATAAGAAACAAGAATTTTATTTACATACCTTATCCATTTTGGTCTAGTTGAAATTAATTCGAAGTAAATTATAAAAGCCTATACAAAAAAATTATTAGCGTAAGTAGGTATTAACCAACGTTATTAAAAAAGTATATAGTATGCCGGCGGTAGCATACGGTATTAACTGATTTAGCACGAACGCGATAAAATAAAGAACTATTTAGTAGACAATGTATCAAACAATAGATTTTTAATATCAAAACTCGCCTTAGACCATGTGCGTATGTTATTACCTACGTTGGCTACGTAAACGTTGTCCGGTTTAGGTCACGAGCAATGTGGTCGGTGGAAACCTTCACGGACAACACGTAAGCATTTGTACGAAGTAAAAAACGAAAGGTTACGCAATTAAATAATATGTCAATATAGAACATGTCACCTATTCGTCACATTTAGGAATGAAAGTTAAAATACACTAAGCCATTATTTCAACAAATCTTATCCTATGGCTCGTCATCACGACCTACTAATAATCCAACTCGTGATCCAAATGCGGACGATGCCGGTAAATAAGAAAATAATACTTACTTCGGTAGGCCACAAACAATGATGTTTATATTTTTTAATAAAAATAATTAAATATAATTATAAAATAAGTCAATATATAAAGTTACTCAATAATTTCGCTCAATATTTTAATTCCAATATTCCACGTGCTCACAATGTTTTCTAACCGAAGCACAACAAAATTCAATATGGCGATCCTACATAGTCAAATAATTAGTTGGCAACACTTTTAAACCACAGACTAACTAGTTTCAACAGATTATAAATATATCTTGTATCTATTGAAACTACAGCGTATAGTACAACATAATTTTATTTAATAAATTATATTTATTAAATAAAATAATATTACAGGCTCAAGAATTTTTATAAATTAAAATTAGTATGTATCTGGTTCCCAACCAAAATATAAATACTAAATAAAAAATGGAATTGATGAGCAAACATGCAGACATAAAATAGTTAATCTTTTGAATATATGAAAAAAAAAGAAATAAACCTAAAGATTTTTTTACTAATTGGTATAATTTTTCTGATGTATGTATTTAGTAGTAATAGATTTACAGTAAGTTAAATTATTATTATTATATTATTGTTACTAATATATAATAAGAACAAAGAACTATGGAACTATTACCTATAGAACTGAAATACTTTACAGGTGCACAAATGAAAGACAGAAATAATAGCAGTTTTTAATATGAATACCTTGTAATAATGTAACATGGTAAAACAACACTTTTGTTCCATTACCTTAAATATCACATACCTACCTAATATGTTGTGCATTTCAAGATATAGTGATATCATGAATCAGTAAGGGGATATGATCTAGTACTTAATATGAAACAAGTATTTCTGGGCAAAGGAAAACGAAGCGAAGGTGTTTTAAAAGTTTTTAATTATGTACATTCCTTAGATTTTTAACAATTTCAAATATTTGTTTTCAGGAATGTTGTGCATTATTTTCTAGTAGTTGACATGTAGTTGGTACATTTACTATTTAAATAAATAATACTAACAATAGACAATAATGTTTCAAGGAGCATATGTAATCAATGTAGGATTGAAGGTGGCTAAACAGTTAGACAGACCTTGAATACCCATGACAAACAATGTTTTTACAAATCATTATATAAAACAAAAATTAATTTACATAAACTTACATATATTCTATGGGTTTTAATAAAAGTAAGGATTTAAACAGCATCGACAGGATCAGCCTCATCTTCTGAGCTGACTTCATCTCCAAACTCAATGTCTTCATCCAAACCATCGACAGAATAAACCACTGTTTCGTTGATACGTACTGTCTCTGGGAATTCACCGTAAGTTTTAAGATTTCTTGCCTCATCAGGCGTGTATTTTAATATGACGTCAGCCTTTGCATCTTGATAATCTCGTAAACCAATCAGTATTATGTCACCTTGATTTATCCAAACCTTTTTTCTAAGTTTCCCTCTGATGTGGCAGAGACGTTTTATGCCATCAAAGCACATGGCCTCCAAGCGGCCATTACCGAGCATTTTTGTGACTTGGGCGTACTCTTGACCGTCTTCTTTAAAAACTAACTCACGTTTTTCTGTTTCATTTTCGTTCTTTCCCCTTCTTCTATTTTTACCTCCTTTTCCTTTATTTTTCGGCATAATTTATATAATCTTGAGTACAAACATATACAATTAAAACTATGAAATTCTCATAAAATTTGCACGCAAGGATGTTGACGATTTTGTTGGATGGTTTGAAATGTCAGTTGTCATTTGTCAAGCTGTCATTCTAAATCGCTACATCGCGATTGTCGATGTCATTACTGTTAATAGTGTATTTTTTCTAACTTGGCAATTTTGGTGAATACATAATGGACTTGAACACGTGATTTTCTCACAAGTCTTACATTGATATGTGTATTAAAAACACTTTGAGACACTATATTATATATTAAAGTTATAATAACCTCAAATTAACTGAGTTAAAACCACAACAATACATAAAATGAATTTACGTAATGGACAGATTTAAATTTCTTTTATTTTGCCATTAACATAGGATGGGATGTAAGCAAAGACAACGAAAATAGAATGTCCAACTCATGCACGATCGCTGAAAAGCGACTGTGCATGATTTAACACTGACAAAAAAAAAAGTTCTATGGTCCATATATAATGGATGTTTCTTTATCCCCGTGTCATCTGTAGTAAGTACTTCAGTCTATTAAGGTCATCACTAGTTCTCTATGGTTTGAAATTGGCCATGTTTCCTGTGTTCTTTTGGCAAGTTAGAAAAAATATACTATAGGCAACTACAGATTAGCATTAAAACGGATTCGAAATTAGTTATCGATTTGCCTGAAAACTTTACAATTTGAAATAGAATATTTGAGCAGTGTAAATATATATATTGGATACGTTTTCTTTTCTAATTTGACTGTTTTGTTTTGATGGTAATATCGTATTTGTTTGAAATCATCATTATAAATACATATAGTGTCCGATTATTTGTTGATCCGTGGCGAATAACCGGTTTTTTTACCCAATCTAATGATATGGTAATCCTGTTAATTTGGCTACAACTTCAAACCGTAAAAAATAATTTTACTAGAATAAAAATGTATGGTTTTATTAAAATATCCTTGTCGTGACAGTGGTAATCATTTGTACGTTGCCAAAAGATAGTACCGCAGCTACGTGATTTTTATATCTACGAGTAATGTGTCTATCGTAAATACATAGTCTTTAACAGTAACAGTAAAGTTTTTGTTTATTATTAATTATGAATAAATATTGTTGTATACATACTATTAATATTATTATACTAGTACTATTCTCCTATTCTCTCATCTGTTATATATCAATAATGTGCAACCCGTTCTCGAAAAAGTATTTATGCAAATTTAACCTGCCATTGCAAGTGATGTGTAGGACCGCTTCTGTAGCTTAATGGTTAAACGTGTTGTCTACCATAATGTTGAGCGCGAGAGGACCTGGGTTCTAATCCTAGGGATGGGCAGGGCACGAAAATCTCATCAACTTCTTGTCTGTAAAGAAACCGATTAATGAATTAGACACAGATTCGATTAGTGCCCCGCGGGGGAAACGGAATTTCACTTTTACAGATGAAATACAATTTAACAGTAACACTTATTACAAAACTATGTATGGAATACAATACTAACAAAAACACTATAGGTACAATTAATTAACATTATTATTTTTACTAATTACGTTTTGAGTATTTTTGCGTACAATATTAATCTTTTGCCATCTCGTTGAAATGCGCAAAAGATGATGCCGTTTTTCCACGTATCAAGTTCAGGAAAGTAAAGACAGAACAACACAATTATAAAGGTGAAGACACACGCCTCGTGTGTCTTTTTTACTTATCCATTATTTTTACAGACAAGTTCACCGTTGTGTCCTGTCCAAGCGACAACTATTTATTATGTTTCCACAGTATTCAATATGTATCTATTTGATTGAAGAACATATTCAATTAAACGTTACAATAACGCAAAAGAAAAAGTAATGTATTTTTAATGATAGAGGAGGACAAGAGGTGTTCACGTGATGGTAGGTGAACTATCCCAACCAAATAACATTTTAACAAGATGCGTGGTCGCCCTATTTTGGCTTTGGATATTATGTTACTCACATGTTTCATAATCAGAACTATTATTTTTGTAAGAATTAATTGCCACACTTTATTTTTCTATTTATTTAGATCCTAGTCTCACGAAATGTAAGTAAATGAATTATATACATAATATAATGAAACTAAAAAGTCGCTGTCGTGCACTTTGTTCAGGCCATTTGGTAATAGTACAAAAATACAGTTACAATTTTATATGTATAGAGAATAATACGTTGACGAGACGTTATTAAGACTCTCCCGCGCGCATTCTGCTTAGACCTCCGAATGCTTAGACAAATACTAATTTGAAAGTCTATTCGAACTTTAATAATTTTTTTCACTCAAACATTTCTAAATTATTTCACAGTTTTATTGTCTATTGGTTGATCTATGTATAGCCATTGTTGTTGATACAGTGTAACTGAATCCAAATTTTACAGACATAGGGTTTCGTCATGTTTTAACGAACGCTGCAAAAACTTAAGTTTTAAGGTGTGTGTAATTTGGCTGCAGTGTAGAAAATGTGCAGTCAAATTGGTCGCGGGCTTCAGGGGGTGGGTGGTTGCAGGGGTGAGGCCAGACGGCGAATGAACTGCAGAAAGGGTTAATGCTCGCTTCCCCTGCAACACGGCTGCGGACTATGCTCGCCCACCTAAGTTCTATGCGGTTAATACTACGTGCTTTACTGTTATAATTATGCTTATTAGCTTGTAAACTTCTAAGAGCTAACATACCCTCAATCATGACGGTAGACACAGTATTTTTAAAATCAGCCCTCATAACCTTTATGAGTTGTTGAATTGGCTTTAAGAAAAAGAAACAACTACTATGACATTGAAAAGTGATAATGGGTTTAAACAGTCATTCTAATTCAAGTAGTCTATTTAATTTTCAGAGTCACGCTTTTAGGTTTTGAGTATTTGACAATTACTAATCAGGCTATATAGTACTTTTTCTTCTTCTTAATTTGGTATTTAAGTAGGGGCTTATTAAGACAAACAAGAAATTAACAAGATAACACTTTGTTAATAAATTTCTCATTAAAATGTGACCTAAGAAAACATCCAGTGAAGATATTTTGTAATATATATTTATTTTTATATTAACAAGAATATATTGCCCGGCAACGAGGCGTTTAGCTTACTCCTATTACATGTACATATTTATATTTTGTCTGTCTCACAAGTTCCTACAATCGCTGACAGATGGCAGAAGATGTCTACGTAGCATTTGGTTCATTCGGAAATCAAACTTTATTATGAATGTTTATTAAGTAAAAAAGTTAGGTTCATAATTATTCTACTTTTTAATTTTGAAACTCTTGTTATTATTATTATTGCTATGCTAAAATAACAGCAATGGAAATAGTTTTTAAATTTAATGAAATGACGGAATGAATGATAAATGAAATAATACAATTATATTTTCAATGAATATTTCTTTGTCTGTATGTAAACGTTAAACTAAAGGACTTCTCGAAGTTTAGCGGCGTTCTTTAGGTTCTTTCATTTAAAACACAAGCAGATGAAAAAAGTGACGTTTAAAAAATATAGTTACCTTTTGGCCTGAAATTTGTTGATAAGTCCTCGGAACAAATGTATTAGCACTATTAAAAGATGCTGACGCCAAAATTTTTTATCTTTAAAATTGCCAACCTGACATCAGTCTTCATTGCTAATAAGAATGAATAAGGCGCATACTGCTATACAAAATACGTTTTCACACAAAGCAAAAGGACGTATCGATATAAGGCACATAATATTGTGGTTGATAAGGAAAATGTATAACAATAAGCAATGATTACATGAGCCGATATTCTGGAAATAAGATCAGGGTAGTAGGTAAGAAGGCGCGTGCGCGGCTTAAGTTCAAGGTCGTAGGCTCTGAAAGATTTTCAAGGAGATCAACGGCCTAGAGCTTCGTATTTGTGAGAGTTATATGGACAATTTGGGACGCGTGACCTTCACCGTGCTGATTGAACAGCGAGGCACGTGTAGAGATATGTAGGCGGTTGTGTTATTTCGCTAGTAGAATTTCTTTGTTGCTTATGTAATTTTTTGTATAAACCGATTGTTTTAGTATTTCTTTACTGTGATATGTAACATTAACCAAGCGTACCAGTATTATAGCTTTGGACTTTCGGAAATCTCAATTTAAAATTTTAACGCGTTTTTTTCCAATAGTGGGTGGCGGTATATGGATGGAATTTCTATATTTCTGCCACCTGTTTAATATGCAGTTTCAGAAAAAAATATAAATTCATTAAGGATATATTCTATCCAATGACGTTTGAATCCAAGACCCGATTGATTTTTAGAAATACATCGCTATCAGTTCGTAGTACAATCTTTGGCGCGCGACTATATATTTGAATATATTATGCTTTAAAAGTTTTGCCTTAGGCGTTAGTGCTTTATTTCACCAGCGGTCATCTATACAAAGTTTTTACGAGTTATTAATATTTCTTACAAATGGCCAATAGTTCTTATATCGATAGCAATAATATGAAATATAAACTAATTTATAAGATCTTGGTTTCAATTTAAAAACATTTATTTTTTAATTTCAAAATCTTAACGATTGCGTTGTGTTTAAAATACCAAGAGCTTTGATAATAATTAGGCCTAACATTGATAATGAAAAAGTCGATATTCTTTGGGGAGAGGAGCGAAGTGCGCATCAGGAGCGGTCATGGCCGAGGACGCAGCCTTGACACAGCTCAGCATCAGGTCCTAGCTTCCGTGGCTGGGCTTATAATATATTTATTCATAAGTAGGAAGCTTACTAGAAACATTACAATAATAGAACCAACACAGTAAACTAAGCAAAGAAAAAATAAGTAGGTATAATATGTAGGTTTTAAAAATATGTTAGGTTGACTGACGAGATTTGAACTGCGTAATTTTAAAATTTATATACATATATTTAAAGTTTATGTTACATGAGGAAATTTTAATGGTCCCCGTATAATTATAAAAAAGAAAGAAATCCTTTGTTCATCCTTTTTTATGTTTCAGAAAAATATTATTAGGTATATAATATAGGAGACGAATTTTGAAATTGAAATAAAAAGGGATTTTTAATTGATTGAAATGACTACACTACGAGAAGAGTATTGTAATAACATTACTTTATAATAGAGTATTGTAATAGAAAATACGTGGTATTAAAAATGGACTTGTGCAAAATATTATTTATTTTGCGAACTTAAATATTGGACGGTACAAAAATTATGTAAATTGGTAAAGTCTTTTCAACCCAATATAGTGAATATTTAAGGTCCACCGCGAAACAGGGGTGACAAGATAGATAATAAGATAGAGATCTTGAAAGAGAAATTTGCATTTATAAAGATGTCAAGTGAATGTGACGTGAAGTTTTTTTTTATCCCGGACGACTAAGCTCGTTGGAAACGTATCAGATTGATTAACTGGCTTATTGTATCGAGTGCACCAGTGGGTAATTGATTTCATTAGTCGAACGAGTCATCACGGATCAAGATTGTAAATGTAAAAAGTCCGCGACAGTCGGATACGGGTTCCCGAAGGACTTGAGGGGTCACGGGGTGTGGGGCGAGGGGAAAGAGGCGGGAGTGCATCGGGACGTTGACTGTCTGGCTCCTGCTTGCGTTATCTGCAGTTGCCCTTTCGTGCGATGCACCGTAACCCTCCACCCCCACTAGTAAGGGGTAACAGACTACTGCAACCCCTAAGCGTTCCAGAAACAGCTATTGACCTGATACGGCAACAGTTTTGGCAAAATAATTTGACGTGGGACAGCCGTGACTCATCCGATCGATGGTGTATAATCCTGGCTTTGAAGTCTCCCTTGCCGTTATTTGAGTTTGTCATACACTTAATTTTTTCACAGATTCTTAAGTAGCACATATTTCTTAGCCATAAATTACTTTGCGAACTTTCTCTTTCTTCCTACTTCTAGTTAAGCTGATATTTCTGTTAATACAATAAATCGAAGGTTTGTGATAATAGAGGGATGGAATATGTATCGGTCTTTCAAGCCCCGATTGGTCTAAATTAGACAAAATTCGGGTGAAAGTTTATTTGATTTACTGTGCCAACTACAGATAATAACCAACGATGATATCGATTTTTCTAAGAAGCGAGGTGCTTGTTTTTCATTGATTTTACATAGAACCCTTTGTACATCATTTTTGAATTATATTACATCGTTCAAAAATAAGTCGGCTATCACTACGTACGTTTACGTTTGTTTCCGGTTCGAATAAAGTAATCATATTATATTGCTCTCAAAACAAAAGATGATAACGATAATATATACATTTAACCTAAGCCTTGAACTCCAAACGTCGACTATTGTTTTATTGACCTGTTATTCAATAAATACGTAGTTAATATTGGCAGTCCTTAAACGCGGCGGGCGTCTGAGCGAAGCAAGTAATTTGTGACTCTGTAGTGGAAAATGGATATTATTGATCAGGAATTTAAAACTGGTAATAACGCTTTTCTTAGGTACTTATTGTGTAACAATTTTTTATTATTGCATTTGCTCTGCTCTACATTGCGTTAAGTACTAGTGAGATACAACTAGCGAACGACCGGTCGTTCTGGAAGTCTATAGGGGAGGCCTATGTCCAGCAGTGGACACCGAGCGGCTGAATCGATCGATAATAATCGATAAGTACTAGTGAGATATTATTACAGAAATATCCTTTCGCTCCAGCGGGACACAATTTACTCATCAGCTATAAATAATAAAGATCAGGGATCGTACCTGATAAAACGAACTTGATTTGTTAAAGTACATGCCCTATTTACTTTAACAAATCATCAAGTTCTTAATAGAGAGGAGGACAGACAAGCAGGGCGTTTGACGGAAGATGAAATGGCCTTATTTCATATGAACAAGTTGTGCTGTTGATCTATATGGCTTTGGATATTCGTAAACCGTAATCAAAGAATGCCGATGTCTATAATGTTTTAGGAAAAAAATATCAATTCAGTAGACAGATGTTAGACCCGGTGGGGATCGAACTGACGAAACGATGATTTTATTAGCCGTTAAGTATTTTTATTGATTTATCCTTAGGTCAAAATAGTTCACCTTTCCTATCTAAAACCATACCATATAAATGTCCATTATTATTGTGCCTCCTGTTAACTGTTGGTGTATAACGAATCGATTAGGCTATTTCGTATTGAGTGCTCGAAGTGTTTTGGGCAAATCGACCTTGGGCGAGTGTCCTCGGGCCGTGTCAACGACAGTCAACCTCGGCGCGTGCTGAATACCGCGCCTCCCTCTTTCCTTTCCTTCTCCTCATACCCCCAACCTCACTTTTGCAAAAATTAACCGGCCTGGTAAGTTAATGTTAAAATAAATCACTTTCGACGGAAATATAGTAATCTTCTTTTTTTATTTATTAGAATTCAAATTAAGCTTCATAATTATGTGCAATGCTGTTTTCTGTTGAAATGAGAGTAAGTATTCGGTATTAGAACTGAGTAACAACGAAATATTAAAGCCAAATCAAAAAACTATAATACCAAATTATATAAAAATAAATCGATCTAATTAAATTATTAACTAACGAAATAAGACATAACTAAATAAATCGTAACTCCGGTCCGACGTTTCGTTTAATCCGTTAAAAGTGTTTCATTTATACGTTATGGATAAACTGCAGACAATACTAATTCAATTATTGTCCTTTAAATATTTTCACTAACTTTAAGAAATATCTTATAGTTATAAAAACTTCTTTAAATACTTCTTACATGCGGTTTAATTCGTAAGGTAATTTTGACTCCGTTCGCATAAAACAAGAATACAGAAAGCGACAAATTGATTGTATAAAACGTTCGCAGCCATTTTGAAAAGCTACTACGAGTAAACTAACTAACCATAAGTCGTCGCTTAACATCTACTAACTATGCCATCATCTCGTGAAGGCGAGAACCGTAGAGAATCGTTTCCTAAGTAAGTCGACTAGGTCGAAAACCCAACTAGTTTTAAATAAATAAATTCATATAATTTCTAGGACTATAAGTAGCGGCAATTAAAATTGGGCACGAAGAGAGGACAAAATGCATTGCGAGGCTTGATTTGGCGATTATCTCTATTTTTTTGTATCAAATATAGTCTGTTCTTATTACGTAAATAAAGTTGGAAAAAAAGAAATGGGTTTTAACCCATTTCTTTTAATCAAACTTTTTAAATGCGAAATGTATTAACTACACTTATTTTGCGTTTCAAACCGTTAACAGTTTGTAACGCGTTAAGTCATAATGTGTTATAGTTTTTTGTTCAGGATAAAAAAGCGTGCAAATTATATCGGTTCATTTAATGAAAACTAACGAAATTATATGTACTTAAATTACACTGTGATTATATGTAATACTTTAATTCAACAATATCCATCTCTTATTACACATTAAGCTACATTTTGATGTGGATGGTGTGGTACCGACTCGCTGTCTTTTAACTAAGAGAAAACTTAAAAAAATCTCTACCCATATCGATCTAGCAATAGCAATCTATCAATCTAAACACATCATTAGTACACAGCATAGTGTAACAGTAATGTGTTAGGAACGAGTTCATGACGTGAGGTTATGTAATTGGTCACCAAGTTCCAAGTTGCAACGTAATTTTAGGTGCTCAAGCAGCATGCAATAATTTAAGGTCAAGCTGAATTGTTTATTTATTCAGTTGCATCCAGTTAAAAGAGTTTAGTTATGTGGCGGCGTGCGGCGGGGGGCGGGGGTGCGAGGGCGACGACTGGCACCTAAAGTCCGACATTGAGATACCCTTGCAAGGGCATTCCACTGCTGCAGTCTTCAAGGCTTACAGGGTCGAAACACTCGCGATCTATATTCTGAGTTCAACAGAATTCATACAATGAACTAGGTTTATTCTCGCAATGAAAACTTACGTATTCTAGCTAGGAGATTCTATATTTATTTACTCGGTTCTCCATTTGAATTTTCTCAAGAATAACCTTTAATTACATTTGCTTTAGTGTTATTGAGAAGAAACTAACACTTAGATCTAATATTGGCAATATCAACGTCTTTAGTAATATATATATACTACGATACATAAAATGTTAATTGTATGTCTTATAACTTCATAGTAATTGCTTACATATATATGAATACATAATATTACATAGTGATAAATAGTACAAAACGCAATTTAATAATAAATCATTACTCATACCTATAAACTGCACACGATTTGTAAGAAATAGTAATACGATTCTTAATAAAAACAATATTGTTAGGATACCACTACTTGTCTTAGTTACAGTGTAGCTTAAGCGGCTTACGCTAATTATCTAAAAAATGTTTTTATGTTTAGTACATAATACTGTGACAGCATAATAACGTTTTAAATATCGTGTGTGAATGTAGAATGAATCCGAAGCCTACATATGCCCACTGTCACACATTCTACGCACAGGGAGTCTATCAGTAGGTTTTATTTGTATCTGTACGGATTTCGGGAGTGAAAGTCGGTTGGTATGGGAAGGGCACGAGGACACGCGGGTTGCAAGCGATCGCGATACGGCTAGGGTGTCCTGTCTGCGCTGGCCGCATGCGCACTACAGGCTGTGTGCGTTTACACCGTTACGGGTTATTATAAACATAAGTAAAAACATACTAAAATTACTTATAACATAATTAAGATTATGTAACTTAGAGTCGATAAGATGGTAATCTGCACTGAAATTATAAAGCTGAAGAGTTTGTTTGTTTGAACGCGCTGTATTGAAAATTCCCTGTGTTGATTGGACCATTATTATTATTTATATTATTCAGGAAGGCTTACGGCTATAAAATACCATGCTGCGACTATAAAGAGCGAATAAATAGTGGGAAATGTGAAAAATAACAAAAAAAAAAAAAAAAGGGGGGCAAAAAACCCGGCAGAGACCGACTACTCGCTAGCCCTAAACTAGTCAGCCAATTAGTTCTAGTAGTAAATATTAGTTACCAAATATATTTTACTTATTGAGAGCGCTTTTATAAAGCTTAAGATTGTGAACAACAGGCAAACAAATTTGACGATGTTTTTTTTCTTGTCAAGCTAACTTATTTAGATTGAAATACTAAGTTACTACTTGGCTGTTGCGTTAGTTTGAATCTATGTAAATGAAAAGAAAAAACTACTTGCTCAGGCCACTAACACGCGAACTAATTAAAATACTTGTTTATGGCAGTACTACTGTGACCCAAATTTATTAAATCACGAATTTAGCCTTGAACTTGTAGACGCTAACATTTGCGTGTGAACTTGAACTTGGTGTTTTAAATACATATTAAGTTACTTAAGTGAATTTAGTAATCTTGTCGATAAACGTTGTATTATAAACACGCAGGATTTAATACAAGTTCGAACTTATGTTTCTATTAAGCGTGTAATACTAAGAAATAATAATTGATATAAATAATATATTATTTTAACGGTCTAAATGCGTCCTGCAGTCGACACGGTCGGGACTTTTGCCGATCGATATGCACCGGCTAGACATGCATTTCTTCCCCTGGCTATAAAGATATTAAATTTTAGGGCCCCTTAATATATATTTAGATATAATGTGGATTAAGGTTTTGCTTAGCATTTTACGTAGTACTTGAACGAACATTTTTAATGTTTTATTACGAATCTGTAGGTACCTTGGTAAGTAAAAAAAAGAAGTTATAATTACTTTACGTATAATAATAATACTTTTCGTTATTATAATGGAATGTTCGTAAATATTAAAAACGTTTCATAACTTAAATAAAACACTTTAACGGTTCAAAACCCGATATATTAGTTAAACCGTTAGTGTTTTAAACCGTTAGTGTTTTATTTAAATGTGTACTACTCGCGTAAACTATAGACAGTATTTAACGTTTCACAACGTTTAAAAATTATATTGTTATTTTTTTAAATATTAAGTTTTCTATTAATTGAAAGGTTTGCACGAAAGGAACTCGAACCGCCAACCAGCAATATAGCTACTGTGTTATTGCTCTAGCTATTGAGTATATTGTCATGAAGAATTATAAAATGAAAGTTGTTTGTTCGTTTTAAATAAATACGTCTGGTGAGCCCCTGGGTCAGAATCCCGAGGATAGATAAACGTTTAGGTCAGGCTGATCGGTTTATTTGTCACTAAACAAAGTAAATTAGTGAAAGAAACACCGAAATATGTCTCATATAACCCCCCATACCCTCCATGCCCCATATTGGGTATATCAGACACACGGCTAAGTTTTAGACGTCGCCAAAATATATGTGAACATTGGTCTCGACCGTGAGCCGCCGGTGGCAGTGACCTGATCAGTGATCACGCCTTGCGACTGCACACCGTGGGCTGAGCCTTCCTTACCCACCCTACTAACCCTCCCCCTGATATACAAGAGATGGCAAATATCACTTTATGCTTTACTGAGAATATGGAATTAAGCCAATATCCTCGATTTTAGAAATGTTGGATAAGTGACGAACCTTAAAGTTGTTTCTGGTTTAAAAGATGCAACAAAAATTGGTATGAGTTGTATGTTTGTTACTAAAAACTCATAATCTCCTGAGTCATATTAAATACCAGTTTCCAAATAGGGCTATGGTGGGGATAGGGAATAAGGCTACGTCGTACCGTATAAAAAGCCTTATTTATAACTTAAACGACTATATTATATACTAGCTATGTTAGCGAATTTGTCCGCATACAATAGTTATTTTGGCCATCTAAATTTATTTTCGCAGCATAGGCATAAGAAACCCACAGAGATTAATAATTTTTCCCGTTTTTTTTTCATATTTCTCGCTGTTTCTTTAAGTGTGCCTTCCTCAATAAGTGCTCTACCTACCAAATTTTTTTTAAATTCGAACTAGTAGTTCCTGAGATTAGCGCGCTCAAACAAACTCTTCAGTTTTATATATTAGTATGTACATAAAAAATTTAAGTATGAAGCAAGTAGTAATAACATATGGTATATCTACGTGATAATTACTGATGAATGTTTTTGATTCCGGGAATCGAATCGGTATCTGATGGAAAGTACTGATAAATGACGCGTGCACTATCTCCTCTTTGTGTCTGCTTTATATTAAAAACCTATAATATTTTTTGTCACGTTCAAGCTGAGTTATCTATCAGAAGCTTATCAATGATCGTGTCTCAGTTATATTGGGGTGCGATATGAAAGTTACGTGTAATTAGTTCTTATCTTAAGTCTATAGGTTATAAACAGCTAATTCATGCGAAACTTTGCAGATTTACGAAAGAAAATCCACTTATTATAAGTAATTTTCTAAACTATAATTCCAACTTTTTTTTTGCTCAAACAATGTTAAGATGTATGGGTGCTTAATTTGTATCTGTACTGTACTTTGCTGTTGTTTAAATATTATTTTTGTATTTACTCTTGTTGATTGTTTAACAAATTCTTATGATTTGATCTTTTTTATCTTCTTTGGTCTCTTTCATTTATATTAGCTGTATGTTGTCCTGTTAATATATAAAATGCTTAAATTATTTTTGAAATAAAGTCTTCGGCCTAATTTTACATGTTCATGGTAATAAAAAAATTAAAACGTGTTTTTTTTATACATATTATTTTATTGTTAACATTTCCAATGTCTATTACAATTACGGAAGTAGCTAAATAATGTGAAGGTTATATATTGTACGCAAAATATAGCTTAACATTGTAAGAAACATAACGCTGACAGTGTTGTACATGATTTATATTCTTTTCCACTTATTCAAGGCAATACTTATAAAATCTATATGGGACATGACCTGGTTCATATTAGAATAAATCATTGACACGATTAAAGAGTTCTTCTCTAACTCCTTAAGAAACTTGAGTCGTTAAGAAGTCGAATGAAAAAAGATTTTATATTATAGGACAATAATACTCAATAAAACAGTATACACCAAAGAAGACTAATTATTATTTTTGGTACGTTTCCGCCTACATAGTGAAGCGTATAAAATTTAATCTAATATATTATAAAACAAATAAGATAAGAGAAAGGACGTAATGTATTATTTATTTCATTACCCCCCATCAAAATATTTTGCTTAAAGTTTAGCTTTCCTTTTCTTTGCTAGTCTATTTTCAATGAGCCCGTGTAAAAATTAATATGGTACCTGGAGCATTGCACTCAAGAGGTGAGAGTAAGGTTAAAGTTGAGGTAGAAGCGTCGCAGCGAGCGTCGTCGAGGGCGCTGGGCGGGCGGTGCAGGCCGCAGGGCCACCCGAGGGCGCGCGAGGGTGCGGGGTGCGCTGCAGATTCACTTTCGTCCAGCCGCGGGCTCCTACACGCCAGTGAGAGAAAGTTGGTCGCGGCGAGCGAACGACTCGCGAGCGGCGCCACGCCGCACCGGTTCCACTACGATCTTATAAACATTGAACATACTTGTTTTTATTGGTGCACGGTTTGTTGAGTTCTTTAAGACTTTTGTGGACATTGAATTTATGCGGGAGAAGTTGATGAACAATGCAGTGCTATCCCAATTTGTCGCCGAAGCGCGAGCCCATGGATCCTTACGAGATGGAGATGAGCGGGAGACGGCTGGAGCTGCCGGCACCCCCTGGCAAGGAGTTCCGTGCGCCGTGCTTGCTGCCCCCGCCGCAGCCACCCCAGTCTGTTATCCAGTGCATGCGGCCTCCGCCACCACCACCTCCGCCGCCGCGGATTCACAAGCCCTCGCTCTTCGAAGAGCCATCCAGCTCCATTCCTGATCTAGGTGAGTTTAAAATTATCATAATTTAAATTTTTAAAACAAACGTTAAGAAACAAACTATTGGGTATTTTGGCTGTAGGTTACGTATTAGGTCTGGACATAAGTATCTACATCATAGGTTTGAAAAAATATAGACCAACAATTAACATTTTAATCAATCTTTAAAACGAACACAGAAGTTTATTTTTGTTTTGATGCTTTAACGGCTTATTCGAAATTATTGAATGCATCTATAATGTAACTTATCGTTTACTAGTAATAACATAACGTATATGATCTTCTTCAAATTTATTAGAACCCAAGCAAAACTTTGGGTCCTTGGGAAAAGGCTTCGTGCAAAAAGACCGAAAAAAAAAGAATTCGCAAGAGTAACAAACTTGAAGGGAATCAGAATATTACCCATATATTTAATAGTTTTTTATAAACCCTTTCCTTTTACTGACGATTGTCGCCGTCATGACAACGTGTACTTGAATTAAATTAGAAGTCTCTAGCTAAAGTTGACCAAAATTAATCCCGCTCTTTCAACCTCCTAGGCTTGGGTCACTGGGTGACAATTGACCTTCGGTCGATACTTAAAATAAGTTATACGTCGGTCATGTACTTTGCTACGATTTCGTGATTTTTAATGCTGTAAAATATTTATAGTGGTCTTTAATAACCACGCATCGAGTCTTAGTAGTTTAGAGAAATAAATACATAATTTATTTAGCAAGAATAATTAAAATACCAATATCTTGTGCATCGGTTATGTACTTCCTGCTTGGGAAAACTATACAGTTATAACTATGAGTGATTTCCGGGTGATGACGGCGTATTATGAAGGTCGTTTTATATAACATACATAATATTCGATCGATATTAATACATAACCGTAAACAAATCGGAATAATATTTGAGCGATAAGATACATTGTACAAGTATAAAATGCGTATAGAAAAGTATACACATATAGCATAGTACACAGTAGGTCATACTTTTATTATTTTCATCGAGTAACAAAAAATCGACCGACTAAAATCTTAGGGTATCACTGCATTGATACATAATTGTTTTTCAAAACGTTGAAGCCCTTTAGAGTGAACGAATAGCGAACATGAAGTCATAGAAATTAAAAAAAAAAAACTATATATACGTAGAATTATTACTTAACTTTATTAAGGACATAATGAGAATTCGTTTGCATCTCTCTTAATAAAAATATAAGATGAATTTTTCAGTATCAACCTCACTATGGGAGTGAAAACGTATTTAAATACATAATTTGACATAATCAAACTCGAAAATATCTTATTAAAATGTCTTTAGGAATATATAACACTAATCTGACATAGAGAAAAAATATGAACAACTCACAGAAATTTGTACATAAAATTAATACAACTTTTATATACGATCTACTTATTTATATAATCTTAACAATTTATAATTGTCAACTGTAAACGTCTATGCATCTTACTACCAAGCACAAAGCCTTAGGTGCTTTTCGGGTTTATAAATTTACCTTTAAACGCGTGAATTATACGCATTAAAAATTTAATAAGTTAGACCAAAAGACTAACAAATAATGTCTGTACATAAATATAACAATTAGCGCGTCTGGAAAAGTACGTGTAAAAAAAACGTTGTGTGTACTGCCTTTTAACACATATATCAGGAGTGATGTTTTAAGTTATGACCACTCTGTGCACGTATACATAATAATGCTAACAAAATTTTCGCGAACGGAAGATTAGATAAATATCGCAAGGTCAGAGCGAGCGACGTTCGTTCGTTGTGATGGCGCGTCATTCGGTGTCATTAAGGTCACTGTGACATTGGACCGATAGCAGTGGCAAAATAATATTTGTATCTTATCTTGCAATGTCAGTGGCGCTGGCGCAGGTGAGCTCGACCCCAACACCTACTGTTTATATTTGCGGACCCTTTCGTGATTAATCACTCTTTAAATAATATACAATTAAGTAAAACAACTACGTTTTTAAACACTTTAATTGTTCAAAACGCGAATTATTAATTAGTTATACTTGTTTAACTTTAAATATATTTCGCATTTTAAGTCGATAAAATGTTAAAAAGAAACTCGACTCGACTCGGTAGCTCAATTGGTAGAGCAACGTCACGGAATGCTGACGACGCCGATTCAAGTGCTGCCCGAGTTGAAAACTTTTTCAATTTTTTTTCGAAATTTTAAAATAAAGTGTTTCATTACCATGTACTTGCGTAAAATACGGACAGTACTTTCAAATTTACTAATTACTAACTGCTATATTTCGTGTTTTAAACCGTTAAACGTGTAAAATTCCATTAACCCTTGAGTAATTTACCATAGTTTTAACGACTAGGGCCTCCGTATAGCCGTAAGTATATCGACGAAAAATTAATAATTCTAAAAAATAAAGTAATTGTACAATTACCTTATTTTATTCTTTATCAAAAATGTTAAAATCGCAGTCCAGGCTGCAAAGCATCCGACATACATTTTGCGTTTTAAACCGTTAAAACCCGGACTCGAATTCACAACAATAATTAAAATTGTTTATTAAACGGCTTTCGCAAATAAATAAACCGCTTTAAATGTTATAAAACTCAATGTAGTTGTTTCATTCAAAATATTTAAATAAAATGCCACAATTAAATAAATTTTATTATAATTTTCGTATTGCGAACATTGTACTATTTAAGTATTTTATTGCAGATTCTCAGTTCTTATCATTGCGACCTTCTGTAAGAGCAAATTACTTCCTGGTAATACGCAAGCGCAGTACATTCGTTTGTAGGTATTTTCTCGATTATAAAAGTGTGTAATCTTTCGCTAATCCGTGACTCTTTCTATACACATAACACCGCAAGGACATTTAGGAACACCTTTAGTGTCCTCACTAAAATGTCTTTACAAGTTCAGTGTTAAGATAAGGCGACAAAACATTTAATTAAAGCTGATTGTGATAAGAGCATACATTTACTTTTTAGTTCTTTAAATTTTTCTAAGGTTCTTGTACCTCCAGGCGTGTATAAACGTTAAATAATACAATCCCACAGCAAAAAATAATAAAAATCCCGCTTAAATCCGTTTAAAATGCTTCTTTAATATCAATACCTATAAATATATTTTTTATTCATTAATATTTTTTTCCTTGCAAACATTAATTATCAACATACATAACACTGGTTTATTTCATATATACACTAACACACACAACATTATAATATCCACTTAAATAGAGACTAATTGTAAGTAGACATAAGTCAGCTTAGATAGACCTGGAAGAGACTAGTCACCAACGGCTTGACCTAGTGTGGGGACTAGGGACTCTCTTTTCTGCACCGTGTATATGAAAACAATAAAGAATATTTGTTTTTTTCTATCGTCTCCCATTGAGGGTCGCGTGTTGGCAATTATAATCTCGATACAAAGTTATCGCGTTATCACCTATTCTTATTCCTAGTGTACTCGAAACATATGTACGTTTATACTAGCTAAACAATCACATAATACATGGCAGTAAACGATTGAGTACACAGGGAAGTGTCGGCTCTCAACCTTGCGGGAGGTCACGTCGCGTCATTCGCAACTAACAATACATAAATTGCTTCATAACACAAACAGCCAGTTCAGCTCCTATTAATTGCTAGTACTTTCCTAAATTCCACGCTAATCATGCAGTGAGAACCATTGTCTCACCGGAGACTCTTGAGGAATCCGCGCGTGATGGAACCAAAATGCGGCATTTACCAACACGCACCCGAGAGGAATAAATGATAATGATATAACTAAAGAATAATATTTTACACAACATATGTCAATATCGGGCATACAAATTTATAAATAAATACATTTTTAGCTAGCTTGAGAATCTAAGGTTTCATCTTTATGAAAAAATGTGTCAGATCAATTTTTGGACTATAAACAAAATCGCGCATAAGTAATAACCATTACTAAAACTTATTATTTTTAAAAATAAGACCAAAAGCATTTATTCCTTTAGTAAATATAATCCTATTAGAATCTTATAAGATAGCAATGGAAATGCGTACTGAATAACACCTCTCCCACCCCTTAACACCCCCTCCTGCCAACTTGACCGCGTTGAGGTCATGGCCGGCCGTATTTTCGTTTCTTCAAACTAATGTCATTTACGTGGTAATAATTCATAGCCGCCTACAGTTTTACATCACAATGAGCTTTTGTTGGCAATTTTATCTTTAGTCTGTCATTTTTCATTCAGTGGACTAGATTATTATAAACTATTCCGCGACCAATTCTCCCGTAATCTTGTTAGGGTTGACCCATATTATTAATGTCAATTCCGTACTGAGTAAGACGTAATGTAATCAAAATCATGTAACCATAATGTGAAGCAACCTTAATGACTCAAAACAAGGAAATGTCTTCTATTAAGTAAATACTGCATCGTATTATTTGTATTACATAGTACATATACTGCATAATCAGTATTATAATGATGTGTGTTTTATTTACTATAGATTAAAATTGAAACCTTATTAGTTTTTTTTTCACTATAAATTTTGTAGGTATAATATACAGACTGCGCCTCATGAAAACGTTATTTTCTCTCTTAAAATAATACCTTTCAGCTATTTCTTATTAATATTTTATTTAAAAGGCGCTTTTTTTCACATTCTTTATTTTATTCATCAAAGCTATGTAGTGTTATTTTATATAAAAATGGCGGCGACCGAACTATTATAACAATACTACTAGTAATAAGTACATAATTATGTACTTAAATTTTTAATTTTTATTTATTAGATTCATTGTAAATATATCAACTAGAAGAATTTATAGATTTCAACTTGTAATTCTTCGCTAGAGAGGAAATATTACGGATAGAATTGGCCGGTACTTACGTATCACCATTTTCATATGTACCTACTATTTTATCAATAAGCCAAATAATATGTTTATAAAGATTGATATTATGTCATTAAATTGTCCAAGATTTAGTTAAAACTAAAAATTAATTGAGGACTGACGTATTTCTGGCACAAGGCGAAGAGACGTGGCACTTTTTTATATATAATATATTCTGCTTACGTAACACTACCGTGATAACCACAGGTCTACTTGTAGCTGTCAAGGCCGAGGTTAAATGAGTAGTTATAACAATTATTGTCATCTATTGTAGTGACACTGGGTGCATGCATTTGGATGGAAACGTTTTAAACGCCTGGAGCGTTCAATTGCGTTCATAGATTTCGTCTCTTACGCATGAAGAAACAAAACATAAAAACTAACATTTAAAAAAAGATAGACCTAATCGAATACCTAAGCCGAGCAGCTTAAAACCCAAGCTATACCAAATTGCCGCATATAAGTACAATTTATAATAAATTATGTTAAGGTTTAT